TGGAAGTGAAGGGAGGGGACAGGTGCAAGCCATAGCGAACTTGGACGACGTGTAGTGGACGGCAGCACAAGTGGATGAACACGCAAGAATGAGTCATTCCTGCAGAGCCGTGATAAACGTAGTTCAACCTTCTGTCTTGGTGGTGACGGTACCGGTAACGGTGAAGGAGTCGTAAGCAGCATAGGCCATACAATCATTATCGTCTGCAAAGCTGCCGAAGAAGTCATCGTAGTTCGGTAACTGTTGCATGACGGCGATGTTGTCGGTGCACACCAGATAACTGCGGCTGCCGACCGTGAGGACGAGCGGGAGGACCGGTAGCGATCCGACCACCGTGACAGAAGTGGGGTTGGGTGACAGGGTGGCCGAGGTGTGTGGACCGTCCGATAGCAAAACGAGAGCACTGCGGCTACACTGCTCCCAAGCCAATACCATATCATTTGTGTCGGTGGGTACGGTGGCTGCGGTAGTCCGCTGAACAGCGGCCTGGAAGGTCTGCACTCGCTTGGGAGGGTGTTTGCCGGGGGCACTCGCTGCCGCTACGAGCGAGCTGCTGAGGAAGACGCTATTCATATAAGCTTTGTTAGAGGAGGGGCTGATCCTGGCACTATAGACATAAAGGGGCGTACTGCTGTCAGCCGCTGCTTGTAGCTGGGCGATGAAGTCATCAGGAGTGGACTGCCTGACGGTGAGCTCCACGTGTCCACCATTGCCGCACGCGACCCACACCTTGAACTTGCGGAACGGCCCGCCCCGGAACATCCCACCGTGCGGGATGAGCAGGAGGGTGCTGCCATCTGAGGCGTGCTTGTCTTCGGGGCTGGCCTTGTCACTGTCGATGTCGTATGCAGGGAACCGAAGCCTGGTGCTGTAGAGTAACAGGACAGCGGAGGAGGGCTCCACGGATATTCGTGTTGCCGAGGAGACTTTAAACTGCCCCACAGTGACCCCAGCGAACCGAGAAGTGATGTAAGGCGGCAGGGAAGCTGAATCCACGTTAGCGAACGTGATGCGGCGGCCGAACGCGTGGCTGGCTTCCAGGCTGCCGAGGATAACATTGTCGATCTGCATGATTACGATCCCCTGGCCGGCAGTATTTACACCCGCGACGAAGCTGCCGTAGCGGCTCTGTGCACCGGCAAACAGCCGGTCCTCATTGGTTTCCGTGGGGCCGGCTGTAAACGTCACATGAAAGGTGACGCTCCTTGAATCCCTACGTGTTGCAAACAGGCATCAGATGGACTGCGTTACACGGTATTTAAGGTACACACGAGCGGTTGTTAACATCGGGGAAGACATCTGCGCTTAAGAGACAGCAGCCAAATATGTGCGCCGGAGCTGATAGATGTGTATATTTCGCACGGTCAGAGGTGGAAGCACAAAGTCGGGCGCATAAGTACCTTACTGGTGTCAACGCGCTCTCTGCATGTAGCAGCTCGCTTACGTGGCAACGATGGGGGGGCTGACCGTCGACGTGCTGCTCTGTGACGCAGCCGTGTCCAGCTTCTGATGCTTGGCGTCAGGTGGGTCGATACTACTGCGGAAGTTGGTCAAAGGTGCAGAAAGTCACGAGACGGGATCGGATAAGTTTCACATAACACATAACACAAAACAGGGGATGCAGCAACGGAGAACACGGAACAATGCAATGCAAGGGATACGAGCAACATATTTACGCATTATACCAGCGCAAACCGACCTGGTGGTGACCAGGGTGCGGCATCGCAGATTGTATGATGTAGTAGAGTCCACGCGTTGCCGCTTGGCGTCCGGCGAATCCATATCGCTGCTGATACTAAACAGGTATGTCTGAAAGCGGTGCAGACACTTGGAGTAGGCAGGCTTGCAAAGAGGTGCGTCTGAAGACTGCAGGATAAGTGGGGAGGAATCGGCGCGCTAACAATTATACAAACCGCGGCGGCGTGTCGTATAGATGACAGATGTCCGAGGATCGGCAGACGTGGACATTGGACGCGCACGCGCCGCGGCTGCGAGACTGGTGTAGCTGCCAACCCGCATCATTGCGGCGGCCTTCAACGAGTTCGAAACAGGAGTAGATTTATATAGCAAAGAGAGACGTGCTTAGGCGATGACGCGGATTTTTCGGCAAGCGCGAGAACGTTGTTTTCCCCCGGGGGGGCAAGTATGTTTGGCAATAGAACATGCAACACGGGCACTGGAAGAGGTGCAGACCGAACATATGAGTACACAGAGGATCCAAGCGGCAATTGACGCCCAAGTAGCGGTTGTACAAGCGGCTAGAGCTGAAGGTGCACAGGAGGCGGAACGGGTTAGATTACAGTGGATTCGTGAGGGTGAACGACCTAGTAGAGGGCTAACTGCCCTGGTGCATCCGTCTAAGACTCTACAAGTTATTCCAGCGTTGCAAGATAGAACGGGTCGTCTTATTACAGACACGATGAAGTTGCCACAGATGGTTGCGGATTTTTGGGGAGAGATTTGTTCCTCCCCAACTCATGTGACTGAAGAGGCTAGGATGGCTGTTATAGAGGCGCTGCGGAACCGCCACCTTGTCATTCCGGAGGAGGATGCGCGTCATGTAGGAAGATCGGAGGTGTCTGACGCTGAAGTGGAAGCGGTGCTCAAGGAAGTGACGCCAGGCAAAGCGCCCGGTCTAGATGGCATCCCAATTGAATTATACAAGGTATGTCGGAACGAGATTGCACCAGTTCTTGCTCAACTGTATACAGCCATGGGCCAAACCCAAATGCACCCAGATGGCTTTTTGCAAGGTGCTATCACGGTTATTTATAAAAATCGGGGGTCTCCCACCTCCCCGGGCAGTTATCGACCGATTACCTTGTTGAATACAGATTACAGGATTCTCACCAAAATTTTAACCCGTAGGTTGAGTCCAATACTAGGGCGAATTATCACGCTCGAGCAGTCTGCTTTTCTGCCGGAAATGTTCTTTTCCTGCGGCATCTACCGCAACTTATGTCGACGACAGGACAGTCGTGTCTCCTGGCTTTTTTGGATATTGCTAAAGCTTACGATTCCTTAGATCGTAATTTTTTATTTGAAGCAATGGATGCTATGGGCGCAGGAGCAGGGTTAATTAGTTGGACTAAACTTCTTTTATCCGATACAGCGTCGAAAGCGGTAGTAAATGGTTTTGTTTCCCGTGAAGTTGCTCTTACAGCGGGTGTGCGACAGGGATGTCCGTTGGCACCGTTGCTATACTTGTTTGCCGCGCAGGCGTTACTATGTTGGTTACAGTACAACCGAGTGGGGATTCATTTACCCCAAAATAATTCAGAATTGGTTACAGGTGTGCAATTTGCTGATGATACGGAAGTTGTTTTAGAAGGAATCCAAGCAATTCCGGCTTTCCTTGACTGTATGAGGGTGTACGCACAGGCTTCTGGACAGCAACTTAACCTGGATAAGGTTGAGCTGTTACCTCTCGGCACCCACCCACATCATATAACAATAAATCAAGACTTGAAGGTCGTACATATGGCTACGGCTCTCAATCTACCTTTTACGGACGTGGGAGAAACCTGTGGTCAGGGACTGGGATGTGCAACTAGACAAAGTTTGGGCTCGGTTTCGACGCATTTCTGTGTTAAATCTTTCCATTTTTGGGCGTGCACATGCAGCGGCTGCATATGGGCTGCATCGTTTTACGTGGCATATGGAACACGGGGGGTTTCCCCCAGAAGCTAAACTCATGTATATTGAGGCTAAAGCGGCCAAGCTTATTGATAGGAACCTCGGACCGGTCGCACAAGAAAGACGACTCACCGGGGTTCCTAAATATTTGTTATATGGCCATCCAACTTTGGGCGGTTTTGGGGCATTAGCAGTACGACAACATGTGCAAGCGCGATGGGCATGCTGGGCAGTGCGTTTTGTGGGAGCATTACTCCAACCAGTCTTAGTGCGTCCGCCTTGGGTGATGGTCATGCAATCTTTCCTACATAGCCTTTACCCCAAATATAATCCTATGTATATTTTTACATCCCAGGTGGGAGTGCCTTGGTTTGGATTAATCGTTTTACCGCCAGATGTTCAGCGCATTGTGACAGCGTTGGCATACCTTCCCCCAGTGGAAGATGTTGATGATCACCCGTTAGTTCCTAATGCGTGGTGTTGGAATTTGCCATTGTGGGGAAACCCTGTTCTTCCAGAAAAAAGGGTGAATGTCCAGTTAGATAACATCCGCCCGGGACTAGAATTTCGCCCTCCTGGGCTGTAAAGCATTGCATACGTTGGGGGATGTTCTTTGCGCGCGCGAGGCCTTGGATAGAGTTATGAATGCAACGGACCAAGCAGGCCTAGCAATACGCAAGGCTTGGCATCAAATAGTGGATCAATACCTCCAACCGCAAACCCCACTAGCTAAATCCCTGTGCACCTATCGTAAATGGCAGGAATGTATGGATGCTATTGGCGCTCTTCTAGATGATATTCCAGCGAATTGGAGACAGGCGGCTAGTCTTTTGTTGCCGCTGAGTGTAGAATCTAGGGAAGCAATGGTGCCCCCTATTGAGTCGGTTACCCAAACCCTAGTGTCGAGGCTTGGTTGGAGATGGGGTGTAGGGCCTCCAATCCGATTCCAACACTTATCCGTTAAAATAGCGACTAATATGCAACTTTCACCTTTTTCGATGGCTCGCCGTGTGGCCCATACCCTTTTCATCAAAGAGGCGACGGGTTCTTCTGAGATATTGGATGAAGCTATTCTTCTTTTGCAACGGACATTCCATCGTTTATGGTTTCATTTACGGTGGGAAAATGAACAAAAAGAGGTTTGGTGGCGTCTCGCGGTTGATGGGGTGCCTATGTTAGGAAATTCCCATCTTAGGATGTCGCGCCCAACGATATGTGGTTGTGGAGGTTATCCAATAGGTTCAGTGGGAGGTGTATCCCCTCGCTATCATCATTTCTGGGCTTGTCCGGTGGCACAGGCAGTAGCAGATCAACTTACTCTTTCAATAGGAATGCCAGTCTCAAGGAAGCAAATTTGGCTTATCCACCCCCACAATCAGTGCAACAATGTGTTTGGGATGTTGTGGCTCTTGCTGCGGTGTCAGCCATGGAGCATGGGAGACGTTATATGGCTGCAAACATGAAAACCAACCCGGCACTGTTACCTGGCCCTTCCCTTACGGAAGAAGCAATTTGTCGAGTTATTGTTGACTTTTGGGGCCGCATTCAGGGTTTCGCAGCTTTGGGAATTCCACGGAAAGGTTGGGATTCCGTTGGCGCACATCACCCCTTCTTGAGAATTATATCTGGCAAATTGCTGTGCTCGCGAGAGCGGTTACCGATGAGAGGTTAATTATCTGAGGTGATAATCTTTTGGTATATTAGTCTCTACTGCAGTGCACGGCCAGCTGGCCCGATGGCTCTACTCTTCGGGAGTCTGGAGCCCACTGTAACAACCACACACACACACTGTGGTTTACGTGTGGGTGTTGGAGATCCATATCGACTAGGCAAAGAAGGTGAGAGGTCGCAGGATTAGCTTTCTGCTTATTTACCTTATCAATCCGAATTCATAATGCGGGCTTTCGTTGTGGCGTTTGCCCCAGGTTCTGCACTGTATACTGCTGGAGACATTTTATCCTGGGGGGGTATACCCTCACCCAACCTGTGTGCTTTTGACGACCGTGTGCGACATTGTCCGTGTAGGTGCACGCGATATGGAGCAGACCGTGCGCGCGAGTTGCGGGCGAGCTACCGCGTCTCCAGCACATTATCCACAATATCCTAACACAGCACTCGAGGCACTCGATTAAACATAGAATTGCAGAAGAAGCTCAAAACAAGTTTCGCAGGAACCAGGAGAACAATTATCACAATGATTGCATCGTTTCATGAAGATTGCGTAGTGAACTTTATCTTGCACTTTGTATTGCGTGATCAGAAAGACAGTAGCCATTGTGCATAGAGGATAGCATCTCTTGTTAAATCCTATAACATTATCTTTTAACCCGTGTATGTATCATATGTGGACAGTAGAAGGAAGTTTTGGTTTGCCCCTGCTTAGTCGCATAGAGAAATACAGCCGATGAGTTCATTGTTTTCGTTGAAAAATCTGTGTGGCATTCTCACGCGTTCCTCGTATACCATTGCGCGAAAGAAGGTGCTGCCTCGAGAGTGCACTCGACTGAAAGACAGCTCCTCTCTGAAGGGCTTCAGGGAGCGCTGCATGCTTTTACTGGGCAGGAACTAAAGGATATCTATACTTATTCTAAGTGAAATCTGCAAAATATCGCGGCTGCAATGGAAAAGGTGGCGATGCAGGCGCCTGCCGAACAGGTGCAGCAGCCCATGGAAGTATCTGCAGATGCAACATGCATGAGAAGATCGCGAGCTTTGGTTAAGGTATGTGCTAGCAATCCTAGTTACAATAGGGAAACAATTCCGGTGTGTCACGGCGTTTCGTTGCCCGAATAATGATCCTGCCCTAAAGATCATCACGGAATACGAATGTTTTCTTGCAGGCTAAAGCGCTTAAGCGCAATATCGTGAAATTGTTGAAAATTGGACGAACGTGCCTGTCGCGCCTGACGGTCATGGGATGGACGCGACGTGTGGCAATGAGGCCAGCAGCAGCTTCTGAAGCGGTCGCGTTTGAAACTAGTAAGTTACAGTAAGCTGCTTGAGATGAAAGACATGGGATCTAAGCTTTACGCTTGTCAAAAATTGAAACGAGGCCCTAACACAAAAAGCGCATCAGTAAACATTCCCCAAATGGGCACGCTAGCTGTTGTGCGGTGAAGGCGGAAGGGCGATGATGGATTAAGTTTCAACTACTCATAACAGTCAGCTCGACTGTGCCGATACATACTTGTCTGCTTGCTCGTAGGTAGTCCGAATTGCCAGTCGCAAGTGCTTAATGCCAGCATGGAGGTGCTTTTTGGTACTCAAGCAAGTGCCCGCTGGTCTGGGAGCACGATCTCAGCTAATTTGCCGAAAGCCAGGCTACAAGGGCAGTGCCTGCAACAGCTTTGGCAAAGCCACTCTTGTGTGTCGGCCGGCGTGGTGCATGTTCCATCTTCCACTCTGGAACAGAAGCGCTTTTCATCTACCGGGAATCTATTAAAGACAGCACGCGCCACAGACACGCTGTTGGCTAGCCTCAATGCCGTTCCTGTACCGGCACCAGCCTTAGATGGAGCTGAACAGATTAGCCACATTACAGCGCTCGGCGCCATCGATCTCCTGTTCCTGCTCGGGCCTCAGCCTTCCAGCGCAACAGCTGTGGTACCCTCCGAGGCACTAATAACTTGCCAAGAAACTACAGGAGATCCGTACCTCGTCTTCTACGAATCTCCACCAGAGGACTTGTCCTTGTCGCTGCATGTGGTTGACCCATTTCCTGCTTCTGTGCACCCAACCTCAATTAACAGCTTCATGTACGACCTCCCGGGCGTTGCCATTGCGCTCAGCATCGCACCTGTTGTGGAGGCCTCCTGTCTTGATCCTGGGGCATGCAACTTAAAGCCAGATTGGTCGGCAAATGTGGATCCATGGGAGCTTACCCCTGTAACGGCTGCTGAGGCTGCCTCCATGATTACCGGTACCTGTGGGGGCCCTGATGCAGTGCCACCATTGCACCACACACTCCCGCCTGTCGTCTTCCCGGTGCCTGCCAATTCTCTTTGCAATGCCGGCGGCGGCGTCTCTCCCATCGACATGGGTGTCATCGATGTGTTTCCTAATCCTCATGTTGGCGTTGCATATGGCCGCAAGTCATCAGGGCTGTATGGCGACCCATGGAACATGCACCAGGAGCACTGCTGGCTGGGGCCCCCCGGCCATCAGCCACATGGGCCCGCTAAGGTGTCCACCTTCCGGGGTGGTGCTGCTGTGCACGTGGGATGCGGTTGGCCAGCTGCTCCAGGCGACAATTGCCATGGCTCTACATGTGCTCCAGCCTGTCCAGCGTCAAATGGCTTATGGGCGTGTGGAAGTGGGTCCCTCCTGACCATCCTGGTAGTGGACGACAGGGCAACGATGAGCCAATGACCATCAGTAATGCGACATATAACGAAACGATATGCAGGCTTGTTGATGGGGAACTGAAACCTGCACGGCAGCACCTGCGTTCGGGTGGACACCTCCGTTCGGGTGGACGAGCATGACACGAGGCTGCCCTGTGGCAGTTGTGTTGCTGCAAAGAAATCAAGGGAAGATTTTGCGCATAATAAAGCAGTAGCTGCTTGCGGCTTGGACTCAGCCAGCAGAACAACCGTTTCTAGGTAGCATTATCACCATTACCACGCAAATGAGGAGGCTTTTATTAGGCGAGAAGTGGATCTGTGACATTGGCAGCTCAGACAAGTTAACTGTATTCCTCAGTAAGCCCAGGGCATCACTATGACGGATTAGGTTTTCAAGGGTCTTTGATGGTCGCACAGCACCTTCATGGCTTGTGCGGCCGCTGGTACCCTGCAAGCCTGACACAGTGGAGCTCATCAAGTGCTGGGCTGGCTGAACCATACCAATGGTTCCGAGAAATAGGTCTCTGCCTAGATGGATTTTTAAACAATTATCCGATTGTTTGCACGCTTACCTGCGCATTTATTCGACCCTGCCTCTTCGCCCGTACTACAATCTGCCTTCCGTACATATTGCGATGTAGTGATGACTCAAGCGTAATGCGTTTAAGGTTTATGAAACTGATGGTCTGAAGAGACCGAACGAATTCATTCACTATATAACCATGCCATCTCATATACGTTCCTTACATTAAGTCGGTGTTTACTCGCGACTTCGCGAAAGAGGAAGTACAAGTACATGGAATGTACATGTGGTAGTAGTTACGGTTGCGATGTCCTGGCGTTTGGAAATGTGTTACTTCCGGGGTTGACAGAAACATGCAGCGTGAGTGGTAATTTCGTTTAAATGCCGTTAATTTTTAAGGCCGTAGGTTGTAGCATACCAGATTAATGGTTGCCGTGGTTAACGCAACACAATGTCAGCGATGATGCTGTGCATTTTAGCGTTCATGCGTGTGTGATAAGATAGTGATCTGTCCGTACGGCAGTAGATGCATTAATGCATGGCCGGATTTCCACCTATTGAACGTGACCTAAGTCCAAATGAATGCCTTGAAAAACAGGTAAAACCAAACCAGGTTTCTGTGATGTTTGGGGCTGCTGTCATTGTTTCAAGAAGCATGATACTAGTAAGAATTATACATAGGATTGGACACATCACGTTCCGGTAGGACACATGCCATCATATTTCACCATGTTCGTTGTTATTGTTGGTTTCAACATCGCATCTGTACTCTCGCTATTGAAAGAAAGTAGGGGCATGTGCCTGAAGGCATATACCGTTAGCAGGTAGACCAGTCTTGTGTGGCTGCTTAATTTTTACACACCATCCTATACACGCTTCTTAACGTCGGATGGCACCTACATTTCTCCCAAACACCCCCAAATATCCACCTATTCTACCTTACCGATGTGCTGGGTATTGTAAATGGCCCACGATGAGCTTCTGAATTTTAGAAGCTGATTATTACCCTATGCCAGGGCAATACTCGGCACACCGGTAACCACGCATACGATAGCAACTACTCATGCAAGGAAACTAGTCCTGTGTCAAAGCAGCCATGAAATATTTGTGCCATAACCCTAAACAACAGCGCATCACCTGCGCTACCTGCGTTGGTGCCTGGCCCCTTGCCATGCCGCATCGTTGCATGGACCCCCCGCCTGGAATGCTTGCGCCTTGAATGCTCCTTTCTACACTACTTGCTCCGATGCCCATCATGTCCCTCACACGCTGAGGGGCTCCAGAAGGCTTTCATAAAATTGGTTGAAGACGAAGGGTTCGAGGTTGAGCTCCAGGGCGGACACCGGATATGGTACATCAAAGGCGGCCAGCACCTATGTTGGGGAGTGGTGGACCGCACAACCGCTCATCTCTTAACCTCGTGAGAACCTTGTGCAAACAAAGTTGGCGTTCACTACAAGCCTACAGCTAACATCCACACATGCAACCGCCCACCGAATATGCCGACATCAGACTTAGGACACATGCCAACATCAGAGCAACGGCTCCCTTAAGACAACAGCAAATTCCTGTAACGTAATGAGGGAAACGTAAGCGGGCATGTGCGGCACCGCTATCATACCTCGGGATGCACGATACCGAACACGCCCACTTGTGCGTCTTTCCCCGTGAAGATGGCCGCCTGCCGCCCGGGGAACAAAGCTGGGTCCGCGGAGGGGGACCAGTGGTACGTCACAGGCGCCCCGGCGGAGACTGGGTCCTCTGGGTGCGGGGTTTGGTTATGGAGCACAGGTGTAAGGATGCGGCCCAGCGTCTCATATGCTGGACTCGGAAAGGCAGTGAAGAAAAGAAACCACACGCGCCAGGGACGACACTGCAAGGCCAGGGCCCTGTCTGTGCATGCTGCGATGTGCTCACTCGCGGCAGATGTCCCTGCCAGGCAGACACTGTTCGAAGACGTCACAAGAGGCCGAGCGGCCCATGCCGATTATGACCAGTGCCAATGGCGCGCCAGCTACTGCGGTGCCCCTGTCCTGCCTACGGAACACCATGTGGCTCCATTTCAAACGACTTAACTGTCCTCGCTCGCTCTTACACCCGTCCCTTACCCTTATACGGCACGCCAAGCACGTCCATCACCCGATTGAGCAACCCGTGGATAATCTCGAAGCCGCTCTCCTTGGCACAGTACACGGCAACTAGCCGCCGCTCGTTGCGAGCGCCCACCTATGGGTACGCGCGTTAAGTCGGGCGGCATCTCAAATCTCAGCACCAAGTGGGCTTCCACAAACAGCAAGGCGCATGGGACGCTCGAAATGGTCGGAACATGAGCTTCAAGCACCAAAAAACGCAAGATGCATCTGCTCTGCAAGGCGCGATGCTCCCTCAATCCGACGTCCTCACTCAGTGCCACGATAATGACAACGATTAAATGCCCATGGGGATCCTGGCTTTTACGGACGGCCCCGCACTTGTGCGGGGCTTGTAACTTGTAAACCATGGATGGGCAAAGCTGACGCCACCGAACAGTGATCGCGGACATGGAGCAGATGTCTGGCCATGTGCGGATCAGAGCTTGTCCCAGTGGTAGGAAACGTGGCGGTGCGGGTGGGCTTTCTCCTGTTCGGTAAACCACGACTACATGAACCTCTTACCGATCGTGACTCGTCCAGCATGATGGCGTCGCTGACCTCGAACAGTTTGATGGGCAGCGCGTTGTCTTTATTCGCCGCCAGGGTCTTCAGTGCCGAGCTGAGCAGGCTGGAGCGGCAGACCTGGTGCAGGAGGAGGAACAGCAGGAACAAAGTTAGGTCAGAGTCAAAGGGAAAGTGATGGAGCGAATCAACCTTGTGTTCGCATTTGAAACACAACAGGGATGGTTCAGCCGGCAAAAATAGGGGAAAGGGCTAATAGGGAGGCCTCGTGAGTTGCGCACTAGGCCGCTCTGCGCCACCAGACGGAGTCGGCCACCCACCCAACCCCCTGCACCACAGCAAAGCCACCCACCTCAAACTCCGCTGTCGCGGGGTTGCCAATCTCAACCGCTGTGCAGCCGTCGTCAGGCCGCCGCATGTTTTCAAAGTTTTCCGCGCGGGACACCAGCGCCCTGCCAGCGATCCCATATGGCACGAGTATGGATGGGGAGGAGAGCTGTCAATGCGGTCTCGCCTGTCCTAATGAAACGCATGCGGCACCAAAGCCCAGCTCTTCGTTGCAATTCCGGAAGCCGGCGGGAAGGATGCGTTGGAAGGTGGGGAGGACGTAGACGGCCGCCTACCATATCATAGCCTTGTCTACCACATGCGCTCACTCAACGTACGCGCCCGTTGCTCTACATGCTCCAGCCCACCTGTCACACCCACCCCTACCCAGACCCGACTGGTAGGTAACACGGATATTTAAATTTCCAGGATTTCGCGCTAGCGATCTACTGACGTCTAGGTTCGCTTTACCTTTCGGGAGCCCCAACCTATCCGCCCGCTACCACCCACCCACCAAGTTAAAACCTCGGTAAATCCCGCCATGGCTACCTCTGCCCGCAACAACTCTGTGAGCTGGTTGAGAGGAAGCTCCCGGCCCTGGGTGGCAGTTGGGGGTATCTGCGAAAACAAGACACACAGGAACACGGGCAGCACAAATCGAACCGGAAGCCATGGAAAATCATAGGAGATGCCGGATATCTGTTCTGTGTAATGGAGAGGAATCCACAAACGTTGGCCTCACTCAAAAGGAGTACCTTACCACCACTCCACAGCGACACTCTAAATCGGAAACTCGGTCCTCCACACAGTCAAGATGGTTGAGGAATGCGGTACGAAGAGATAACAACTATTTTCACCAAGGGGACAAGGATTCTCGGTCCACAGGCCCGTGTGCCCTTCTGCCCGTTGTTGCACCGGGTGCAGCACCAGGAGGAGACGCAAATCCTGTTAGCGTTGCGTTCCGTGAACGTGTACAACTACAGCGAAACGTGACCCCTGGTTGAAAGCCAGCCAGAGGTAACCACAGGAATACTTCAGTACGGAGGCTGCAGTCGTTCACCACAGGATGGAGATCAATCAACTGGGGCCCTTCTTCTTCTTCTTCTCGGCAGCGAGCAACGGGCTTGCGTCCCTCAGCAGGATATACTGTTCCCTTATGGCAAGGTGATCGGTGCCATTTTAGTATTTTCCCTGAGCATCACAACACATCACCGAGAGGAGCCAGTCAGACAGCCAGATAGCCACAGGAGCAGCGCCCCCACACCTTTGTGTTCACCAAGGACGGCCAAGGCGATGCGAAAGTGCTGTGGCAGGTTGTGAAGATACCCCATCATCCCAGTACCTCCTACGCCCAGTCCTGCAGCATCACGGCGCAGCCGCGTCTGCACGCCATCGCGTATTGCACATGTCGGGCAGAGCCCCATGTGCTGGACAAGGAAACATCAGCGCGCCCGGCCCATGCACAGATGGTGCTGCAACTGCTATGTGCGCACACGGCCAAGTGCATGCCGTACATCGCGCATTCATGCACGCGCTGCAGGAGGAGGCCACAGATCACTCCACTTCAGTGGACATCCTAAGTCACCTAAGCGCAGGTTGTGCCCAGGTTCTTGGCGGAGCAGCTGCTGCGGATGGCGCGGTGCGGCTTATGGTGGGGGGCCGGGTCCCTCAGCAGGTCGAGTTGTCGCTCAAGAGGTTTGTAATCGGTGCCATTTTTGGTTTTTTCCTTGAGCATCCCTGGGAGGCCCCAGACACCGCCGATGTCCCTTGCCTCTTAGCACGCCGACGCCGCCGAACCTTCTTGCTCCTCCTTCCTTACACTTTCTTTTTCTTTGCTTCTACTACTAAGGACGTGCACCGGTACCGTTATTTTATAACCCCTGCCCTCCCACGCTCGCCTGATCCCAATACATTACCTTCTAAACTCCCGCTGCTGCTGCATTGGCCTTTTCACTTCTTTGCGTACAAATATATCGACATTCTGCACTCACGAGACGGGTTCCTCATGCCGGGCAACATGTTCCCTCGACGGCATCGTACCGCTGTTGCTGCATGGCCCCCTGGCTTTGTTCACTGGCTAGGGCTGGCAATATGTGCTGTTAGGCGCGAAGCGATTTGAGTCAGTTGGGACTATAAAGACCATTTCATAGTCTGTAGTTGGCCCTGGCTGACCGCTGCCTTTTGCAACTACAGCGCTGCCAATTTTAGCTTGCCCTGGCATCATGTTTCCGGTCATCACGTAATTCATAAATTGCCACCACTTTGCTGTTGGACTCCTTCCTTCCGTAAAGCTGCTCGTTTGCCATCCTCAGCACTTCCTCCTCGCGGCCCAGCTTGTTGAAGCACACAGCAAGCAAGGAAGGTTGCCCAACTGCTCCATCTACTTCCCTCGCTGCACCCACCCACCCGCTTGGGGATATTATTGTAGCCGTGCGCAATCGCCACGTCCTCCGCCACGTCGCACGCGTGCAGGATATCCGAGCGGGTCGGAGGCACACGCACGGTCAGCTCCTTCCCATCTCCCAGCTCCGCTGCTACCTGGCGGAGCAGAACCGGGATCACGTGCCGTGAGGGACCTGAGCCATGTGAGCACACGAGACACGGTGACGGACGAGGTTGGTAAGCCAACAAGCCAGGACGCCAGCTGTACCGTTGTATTGATGTCGTCAGTTATGTTATTAATCAGCCAGCCAGCCAGCCAGTCAGTCAGTCAGTCAGTCAGTCAGTCAGTCAGTCAGGTGGGGGGCCCGGGGGGAGTTGAGGAACAAGACGGCAGAGGTGAAGAGGGGGTTAAGGGAGAGAAGGGGGAGGAAGACCCCAACCGAACACCATGCAGCAGCCCCCATTACCCTCCTCTACCTGCATTTTCGTCAGCAACTTGACGATCTCCTCACCGGGCAGCTGCAGCCCAAGCAGGCTGTTCACGTAGTCCGTGGTCAATGTAAGCGATCGGTAAGACAGGTCCGGGTACACTGCATTGCGGCCATGGGCGGTGAAATCCAGCTGCTGAAGATGGGTGGGCGCGTTGGGCCTATCGCGAGCAACTGTCAGCACCTCAAGCGGAGCTCAGCCTATCGCAGCAGCAGCACGACGCGCGACACCTGCTTTGCTGCAGGCCCCCCTCTCCACCACCTCCCTCCCCCCCGCAGTGACGCTGAAAGGCCTCCGTTCGTTCCACCACCCGTACTTTACTCCTGGCCCAACCCACATGTCTTGTTGCCCAGCACATCCACGACCTCCACGGGCTCCACCTCAAAGGGCGTGGAGGCGTACTCCGCAAACATGGTGACAACCGTGTTCAGCACAATTTTGGCCTTGGTCAGGTCGGTGGCGGTACACTCAATGAAGACGTCCCGGGTGTCCAGGGTGATCTGGGAGCCAGTAATAGGTGTCGAGGTGACAGAACAGCATTATGGTGTTGAGTGATTAAGCAACATTGGGAAGGGGCCCACCATGTGTGTTGAGGGGGAGTGTGGGGTGTGGAAGGAAGGTGAGCAGGATGCGGGAAAGGAGCCGAATGCCAGCTGGGTGCGCAGACAGTGGCAGGGGGGGTTGCGGTTCCTTGCATGAACAAACGGTGTCTTCGCATTGGTGCGCAAGAGCGGGAAAATCGTACATTCAATGCCACTCAATGCGGAGACCGGCTGCGTTGGTTGCACTGCATTAGTAAACCTAGTGCCTGTGTCCGGGCCCTCAGGCGTACGAATCCCCTCCGCGCCCTATTATATCTAAAACGAAAACCCCGGATGACCAAGCACATTGACAACTGTCCATCAACTGTTCGCGTATTCAACAAAATCCCCTAATGGCGCAGTTCCGCTTTCCGGCCTTCAGGGGTTGATGAGCCGGACCCACCGCGGAATGTGCTCCGTTGATGATGGGCGGCAGGGAGAGCACCACACGGTTTGCGTCGTACAGTACGGGGTACACGACGGAGGACTGGATGATGGGCACGAACTTCTTGAGCTTCTGGTCATTGTCCAGGTAGTACTGCACGTAGTGCATGACGACGCGTGGGTGCGATTTCAGCACCACCAGGCGGAACATTTCGGGGGGAAAAAGGTGATGAGGGAAGGTAAACACAAGGATAAGCACCCGGAGCATTACCGACAGTGTACGGACAGTGCGCTATTGGCAACGCAACCCCCTGCCTAGCCATAAGGCTATCCTTTCCCACGGAAATCCTTTGCTTTTTACTGTTTTCGGTCCCTAGTCATGGCCCGCAGCGAGCGCCCATTAATTCGCAGGTAACCACATGGCCTCCCGAGATTGCTACCAATACTGACACACTCGCACACACTTGGCTACCTCACACAGCATTACGTGGCCCCTGCACTTCCGCCATTTTTATGATTGCCATTCGACAGATTTGTCAGACCATTCGACCAATTGTGGACGGGCAGTTTCACCCTTTTTTTCAACATAACCTCCCTGTATTTCTTTTTCCTCACATGTCAAGTGCACAGAAGCACACCATCTCACTGTGCCCGAGCCTCGTCGCTCAGCACCATCAAGTACACGCCATCCATTGCTTCAGCTCATACTGGTTTTCCAACCCCACCTGCATGAGCTCCTTGGCATTAAATTCGCGCGTTTGCTTGAGGGGGATGAACTTGATTTCCTCGGGCGGTAGGGCTTCGTACGTGAACGGCCCCTACGGCACTCAGCACTGTCGCGACTCATGGCCATGCAGTAGTGCTGAGACAGTGACTAATTAGCCACCAAAATATAGCTCTCGCTCAATCGAGCAATATGCTGCAGTGTTGGCTGTGAGGCACCTACACGTCGTGCGTGCAGAGTTCCATGTGCGTGCATAGGACGGGAAACAGCAACGCGATCAGCCCATGCACGTGACATAATCATAGTGCATTCGTTCGCCTGCAGAACATCTCGCATTCATGCACGCGCTGCACAGGGGAGGAGGCCACAGATGGCTCCACTTCAGTGAAGACATCCTAAGTCACCTAAGGATGTAGTGCAGATTGTCTGCGGGGTAGTGGTAGCTGCGGATGGCGCGGTGCGGCTTGTGGTGGGGGGCCGGGTCCCTCAGCAGGTCGAGTTGTCGCTCAAGAGGTTTGTAATCGGTGCCATTTTTGGTTTTTTCCTTGAGCATCCCTGGGAGGCCCCAGCCACCGCCGATGCGACTACAACGTGCGCCACTCCGTTTCTGCCTTCGCTGCCCCAACCCCCCAACACACACACAACACACACACACACACCGCACCGCGGTCAACATCTGGCAAGCTAATCAGCCACCTCGATACGGGCGGCATACGTCAGAGGGAACGGACACAAACGCACAAACAAAGCGTTCACCTACCGCCCAATTACCAATGCCATGTACCTGATGCTAATTGCTGCGCCATCCGCTCTGCACCCTCCCCCACAACTAGCAACTGGACGCAGCACCACTTAGTCACCCCCGGGCGGGCCCCCCACAAATTAACCGTCAGTCCCGCATCATCACCTCCGCCCTTGTCCGCCTCCTCGTCTAACCTGAATCGTGGACAGGTCGTGCGTACCAATAGCCACCAAGGTGCGCTGTCGGCACAGGTTCTGATGCAGCTTGTCCTGTAGGGCGTTCAGGAAGTGTGACACAGGAGGGACCCCTTGATGACTCTTATGGCACGCAAAACCCCAGAATGGCATCTCCAGCCCCCAGTAACTAGCACCTGCGTGACCTCAAGGCCTCGCGCGGATCTCATGCGCAGCAAGGCCATACGCACCACACAACAAGCGACTCACCACTAATGCACAGTAAACCCCAGATGGCCCGCGCTCATCAGAAAACGTTCGCTGCCTGCCAGCCCTAGGGACGCCGGCGCTATGAGAATGAAATCGGCTCTCGCATACTTGACGGCGCCACCAGCCACAGAAGGTATCCCAAGCAGCATCAAATAGACCCCGCGGCGTAGTGATCAATAAGCAGCAACCTTTCATTCCAGCCGAAACAGCCTTTCCGGTAGCACTCGCTCCCAGCTGTGGCTACCGCTGGCGGCTCGTCTCCCTGCCACTATCCCCTGCCCCTCTAATAGGTTGGTAAAGTGGCGTTGTTAGATCGGTTGGGTCCCTTCCACTCGCCTGCAGGTCGATGAAGGAATTGTAGCGGGCAGCGTCGAACTGGACGCCTCGCAGCACCGCGCATACCACGAACGGCCGGACCAAGGCCGTCTCCGGCTTAACCACCATCTGCAGGGGCTGCTTGCCTGGGGATGCGGGTGTCGGGTGCGAGTTCAGAGGAGCGGCACACACGCGACCAGCGCCTCTCACTATGCAAGTGGGAGACGCTGAGTGGAGCCACTGTGACACAGACAGGAAACAGACAGGAGGAGTTGGTTGAGACTGCTGCGGTGGGAAGTATGTGACCTCCATCAGAGCACCAAATAGTGGCCACAATTAGCCTTGTGCACATGCAAGCGGTCGATGACCGTGTTCGCGAGCAGGCTCTGCGCGGCGTCGGCGCTGCGGAGGTACCCCAGGATGAGAACAGCATGTCATGTTATATAAGCTGACAACCGCTATGATGAACACACGCGTTCAAGTGAAGGCATTACGAGTCCCTCCCGCGCAAAACAGCTCCTCAAAATTTTGATGCAGGCTCGACCAAACGCAAATGTCCCAGACAACGGCAGACAGTCGGCCGCGGTATTTTTCCGGTACTGCGGCAACAGCCACATAGAGCATCCTGGTGGTGCTCAGCGGCAGGTCTCGCAGGACCCGTAGGTATAGGTCAAGGGAGGGTTCGGATTTCGGGGCCTCCAGGGGAAAAGAAAGATCAGATTCGTGTAGGTGGTATGCCCCCCATGTGGACCCCACCCCCCTCACCTGTCGCCATGTCTGCCAGGCGGTACTGGGGGGCCGCTTGTGTGCCACGGAATATGTTCAAGGCCCGCGCGATGCCCTGGACGCAAAAGGACCGTCAATCAAACTGCGGGTGGTGCGGATATACTCCCATCGCCACCTAACCATGAAGTTGTACCTCAATACAGCTTCCGATCCCAGCATAAGCAGTTACATCAGGGGACCCAGGGTTACCAAGCCTCGTATTATTGCCAATATGGCCACGGGGCCCACGGCCCGCACGGCAAAACGCCCCAGCGGAACCGCCAAGGTAACGAGCTGGTGCTAGACCCTAGCCCACTGCCACTGCTCAACAAAAAAAATTCATTCACCCACGCACGATCCCCGGAGGGGGGTTGCGGAGATGGCCTCATTGCCAGATAGGAGCACGGTGTCCATGTAGATGGTGCTGCATCCTTCTGTGCGCGCGCATGCATGCGGTACATCTCGTACCATGCGATAAAGTTTGTCACATGGTCCGTGTAGGTCCCCTAACTTGTCACCTAAGGATGTAGTGCAGGTTGTCAGCGCGGTAGTGGTAGCTGCGGATGGCGCGGTGCGGCTTGTGGTGGGGGGCCGGTCCCTCAGCAGGTCAAGTTGTCGCTCAAGCGGTTTGTAATCGGTGCCATTTTTGGTTTTTTCCTTGAGCATCCCTGGGAGGCCCCAGCCACCGCCGATGCGACTACAACGTGCGCCACCATGGCCTAGGTCGACCCCCAGCCACCGTCTCAGGGCATCTCGACGCGGGCAGCACTGGTCAGCAGGCACAGCGCTGGCATTCCTATTAGGCCTGACGCACACGGCGTGCAGTATTACTGTTAGGCGATATGCCTAACGCCCGACGTGCCGTGTCGTTGGACGTCATCCAGCGGATGAGGACGTGCGTTGTGCCTTCTCTGCACCTTAACCCATGTTGCCAAGTTGGTCCGCACCAACCGACCTCGCTGCGAAACCTCCCCTTTCCTCCGCACATTGCCACCACCCCCTTCACCTGCCTATGCGTTGGAGATATGCATGGGCACAACGAGCTACCAGCCTTCCTTCCTGTGACCATGTGCCCAAGTAGTGTCCTCCGTTACAACCGAACAAGGGCCACCCAAGCGTACCTCGACGCAAAGCATGTCATAGCGGTTGGCTGGGATATCAATCTTATAAATGACCTCCTCGCTGGCCGCTGCCGCCTCCGCTGCCAGCTTGCTGTCCGCCCCTTTGGCAACCGTACTGGCAAGCTCCTTTCGGAGCATTTCCTTTTCTGAAGTCTGTCGGTGTACGCGTGCAAACAATGCACGGGCAGAGTTATTCATGCATTCAGAGATACACCACAGAGTCTGGCGTACAAGTGGACGTGTCATCAGAGTGCACGCGCTTGCCACCGCTGCTTTACCACCCAGGGCCCCGCTACACATTTAGCCCAGCCAAGGCTCACAGACGCTGACAGCGATGGTAAGATGCATGGCAGTTGCATTTCCCTTACAGCCCCTACCAGGCACGAATGGGTTTTTTGCAGAGACGATGCCCGACCCAGTAGTAGATACTTGTCTTCCTAAACATAGGTAACTTTACCACGTCATCAAGCTCAATCCCGTACTCGAAGCAGAGCTGGTCGAACTCTTCATCGGCTGCAGTCATCAAGAAAGGCGTTCCAGAGATCTAAGGCAGATTGCACTGTGCTGATAGGAAATTTGAAACCGCTATTCTGGCGCCTTTAATCCTGCCTATTCGTGGGCTTGCCGCCGCCAACACTTACTGTAAGCCTTTCCCAGCTTCTCGAACAGCTTATCACGGTTAACCCCGACCGTCGGCATTTGCAACACCGGAGAGGTGAATATTGATCTGCAAAGGCTCGCGGGGAATGGGAGGGCTGGCCTGGTTATTCGCTCCGCAAGGCCAAGCACAACTCCCGGAGTAATGTTTCGCACGCTATAACGAGAAACAGATGTAAGTAATTGTAATAGCATGGACTATCAATCTGACTCCAAGAAGGAACTGTGCTATTTCACTTTAAGGCAACGTGCCGTGATATGCATGGAAAGGTCATTATTTACGCATCACCAAGAACAGGATCTGTCAACGATTAATTACCTACAGCACATACAAGGTGCAATCTGAGCATGTCATGAACACCTACCTGGCCAAACTTTCCGCCGATACTATCCGGTACTAATCGCCTCCTTTTCTGCCTCAAGCTTTGGCGATAGCGATAAAGTTATGTAAATGTTTTCAGGCAATATGTACTGTTTGCATTAAACGCGCTTCGGAAGCAGGCGTCGCTTGTCCGCGCACGACCTGCTCATAACCCGTGCCTCGCGTGTTGTAACCCGTTCCTCACATTTGTTATCCATGCCTTCTCCGTGGCGCCTGAACATGGAAGCCTGTATATGAGGAACATTGTTGGGAAAAGAAAAAAGAAACAAACGCTACCACATTTTCCCACAGTAGGTTGGGCTGGGTTTAATGATGTATGGAAATGTTTCAAAGACAGGGACGGGGAAACAGCGATTGCGCGAAGGCGCGATGGTGGCAAACAAGGTAACCTCGGTTGTCACTCAGATGGCCGTGCCGTGCTACTACGACCAGCCGTCCTGCTGCTCAATCCTCCAAGGTTCCCATTCGCTAGGCTAGGTCCTCCAGGAGCGGGCGATGTGTCGGGGGGTCTCAAATTTGCGGGGAAGGCTTCATGGCGGACCTAGCCAAGCCGCTCCCACTCGCTCCCCATTCAGTGGGTCCTCATCATCACGACCTGGTACTGCGAGTTGTAAGCGGCCTTTGAGTTGTGTGTGCTGGACCGGTCTTGTCCTAAACCACTATGGCGGATTGTGTGTGTGTGTGTGTGTGTTACATGGTTGGGGGTGCGTGACCGCATACCTGTAAAACTACCCATACGAGCCGAGGGCCCAAAGCCAATATCTATACGCCTAAAAGCCACGGAGAACAGGAAAGACCGCACCATTAGCCTAGACTAGCGTCCAAAGGGGGTAACTGAGTTTCGGTGAGCCCACATACGTTCCAACATCCTCGCCAGACGTACTGGTTCCCGTTTCATGGCCTCCAACATGCTCTGTTGATGATCGAATCCCTCTTCAGCACGAATATCACTATAGGCTGGGCATTCCAATAACACGTGCTTTTCATCCTCGATTCGGCTATTAGTACCACAACAGCGGCAAACCCGTTGCCCCCTGGGGACATGGTACTTGCCCCTTCGTGCTCTGTTTGCCTCCAAAGCCCAGCAACATAAACGAAACTGCATTAGCTTACGATGTGCTAAACGAGGAATGAAAATCTTAGCATATGTTGGCCACATGACGGCTGCGGCTCCCGAAAAGGGCAGCCCCATCCAGTGCTTGTACTTCGGCATCCGCACTCCTAGTTGCTTCCCATCTGATGGGTACTCCTCTGGCAAGACAGTCAGACGCGCAACGCTCCCTTGCGGATTGAACTCTAGCTGGGTGGTACATTGGGTTCTGACACAACCCCCGCAGCCGTTATTGCCTGGTGCTGTCGGGGCCATGGTACGCGGGTTGCCCTGATATCTCTTGAGGGCCAGTACATTGTTTGGGTGCGGTCAGCACTCGTAATCTGTTAGGATCCACGCTGATATCATTCGTAGATAAACCTGCGTACGCATAGCGCTAGTAGTGTTTGCGAAGATTAGTGCTTTATACACAGCAGACCGCCTGCGCTACCCCGTCATCAGGTGGCTCAACTGTATTGCCATGTGTTGCCATGTTAACTGATAATGGACTGGCCAACCCGCACCCCAACTGGATAGCTGTACCTTATGATTGAAACACCGCTTACAAAAAATTGTCCGATGCAGCCTGTCGCAGCGAGAGACGTCGAAGTTTTGGTGCAGTGCGTTTCGTTGGGCGACGTTGGAAGAGCATTCTTGTTCTGGAAGTGGGTGGAGGAGGCCATTCAGGTGCTGCGAGAGAATGCGTGCTCAGTGCGTTACTCGCCTGATCAGGCTACGCTAGAGCCTGCTAGAGCCCGCACATCCACGTTCGTCTGTTCAGGCGAAGCACGACGGAGTGCGAATGCCGATAATAGCTGTGGATGTCGCTTCGGAATTGTTCGATGATGTGTGGCGACTCACTTTGGCGACGTGGCTCTGGTGGCCAGCTTACCGAGTAGTTACGTTGCGGAAGAGGCCAGGCTCCGTTGGTTACACAGTATCAACCGTGAGGGTCGTTTGTAGCTATTGTCAACCGGTGTCAAATTGTGTGTGTGTGTGTGTGTGTGTGTGTGTGTGTGTGTGTGTGTGTGTGTGTGTGTGTGTGTGTGTGTGTGTGTGTGTGTGTGTGTGTGTGTGTGTGTGTGTGGTTACAGTGGGCTCCAGACTCACGAAGAGTAGAGCCAGCGGGCCAGCGGGCCGTGCACTGCACTAGAGACTAATCTACAAACTAGACAATCACCCAGATGAGACAAGTAATGGCAATTAGCCAGTCAAAACAGCGACCAAAGGGAAATTGTGGTTAGTTTTGTTTTCCGATATCGCGTGAAGCGGCCCCTGCCGAAGCGTAGGGACGTGGTCGGTTTTCGACCAGCTCGTCATGGACAAAAAATACGCTTGAGGGCTGGGGGCAAAGTAACCCTTCGGCAGATTTGTGTTCGCGCACTTGTTCTATGGTGTGACGAGCGAAACGAGCGATTTGCATCTACAGGAGGAGATAATTGACGTACCTTGCTTCTCTGCTTCTGTTCTAACCGTGTCTGGTGCGTGGTGAAAAGTCCCGAGGACGGTGCTCAGAGGACGGCGAGGCCTAATGGACTGGCACATGCGACTGCAGGGACAGTCGATAAACCTTGGAACGTCTGCCCTTGGCTGTCCATGAGGCTGCAACACGAGGACTTGTGCAACTGGACGCGACGAAATCGCATGGGCCAACTACATTTTGGCCCAAGGGGCTCGAGGGGGGTTACAGCGGGGCTTTATCTCCCTATCGCGGAAGATAGATTGGCACACTGCTTAATGATCGCGTTATTATAGGCTGTGCGATGGCGCTATTGACGCTTGCATAATGTTATACGGTGACCACATAGATCAGAACCTCCAGATATGATGTAAGGGCCAAAGCTACAGCGTCATGTGCTCTGGTATGCTGCAAAGAACAAAGCTGTCTGGTACCAGAGTAGAGGAGGCGTAGGTGGCTTGTGAGAGTGGAGAGGGGGTGGGAAAGCGGTGGAGGAGAGTGGCTTGGAGGTGGAGAGCAGGTGATGCTGGTCCCGGCCGGCCAGGGTCAGGAGGGGAGGGATATCGGTGTCGTAAGCGGGAGCAGGCAGCGTCTGTGAGCCGTGCCTTTCTCGGGCTTTTTTGGGGCCCGCCGCGCTGGCTTGTCATCCCCCCCGCGGCAATAGGTGTTTTTGCTTTGTCTTACGCTGGGCTGCGCCTGGATGCCCGCCACCCCAGGAGGGGACTGCCGTACGGAACAGTTTTCTGCCTCGGTTGTGAGTGGACCGGTGAGGTAGTGGTGGCCGCCTTCGGGAGGTGTGCGTTACTTGTGGTGGGTGAGCAGCTGGCCTTGAAGGACCAGTGTACAAGTGCCCGCGTTGTGTTTGTCTTCTCGGTGCAACCGTGTCTCGGCTTTTGTGGTGTGGCGTCTCAGGCCCGTGGTCCTCCGTGTATCTCTTGCCTTGCTGGCTGCGCGGGGTCCTTGACTAGGAGAGTCTGCTAGGAGAGTCTGCTACGTGGGTAGGTCTTCCCTTGCCTCGTTTTTTTGGAGTGTGTAGTGGAGCCCCCTGAGTAGAGCCCCTGCCCCCAGTGGTGTTTTCTTTTTGTTCTTGTTTTGGCGGTCAAGAGGGACGAGAGCGCGTGATTAGGCTGGCCAGGCGTAGTGGGGGCAGATAGGTTGTTTAGGTTTCCCAGAGGTGGTGTGGCGCCTCTCGTGCGGCTCTCGCTTAGTTCGGTTTGCAGTCTCCTGCGCCGCTGCGTTGCCTAGCCAGGGGCTGGGAGATCGTCCCGGTTGGCGTGAGTGAGGGAGTGAGGTGCGCGCGGAGGAACAGACGGACGTAGAGCCGCGCGCCTGCCCCCTCGCTGTGTTTCGGCCCTGTCAGGGCCCCCGGTGCTCCTCCTTTTCTCGGGGCGAGCCGCCCACAGTGTAACACCCCAACAAAGCTGTAAACTGGCCTGTTGCCCTGCAACTCGTTGTACAGTGATAACCAACAGCATGTTTCAATATCAATGCGGCTATAAATCATCCTGGGGATACGGTACTCTAATGTTGATGCTTGAAATTTACCAATCGCTCGTAGGATTTTCGTCCCTCCAGATCCCTCTCTCAATTTTGCTGAAATATCGTAGAGTGCAGGACGCCAGGTGCAGTTATGTATTGCCAAGCACCGCACGGTTATTCATCAGTTGTCCGGCTGAAAAACTCGCCATTACTGTAAGCCGTGTATTCGTACGCAGTCATTCCGTCCCCTTATAATCCGCTGTTGGATAGGATGGCACGCAAGGCCACATCGTATTGCTGCAAACCGTAAAGGTGTTGCTTCACGCACTGTAGCTCCGTACGGGGGACAGGTGCAAACGGCAAAAGTCCCCAACGCCTAACAGCAGCAGCGAGGTGGCTGCCAGTTAATGGTGGTACTACTCCCTTCAGGTATTTTCGTATATCCGCCGTGCGGTAAATGCCCCATGCTTTTGTCGACGGTGGCTCTTACAAGAGTGCACGTTGCACCAACACCACTCCAGGAGTTGTGAAGTGGTGTCACAGGCGGCCTCCAAACAAGGAAGTTGGGAACGATAGGGCTAACTCATGCATCACCAGCCAGCAAACGCAGGATGCATTACAAAGCAAGCACCGCATGCAACAGGGTAAGCCCGGACGCCGCCGCGCGTCACAGCAAGTACAGACATTCTTCGTGCAGGGTCACGAGTCATCACAAAATAAACCTGTGTGTGGAAAGAACATAGGTGATGGGTATCGCCACAACATACAGCGATGGTTCGTGCCAATCTACAGTCGAAAGGGCGCTCGGGACCGGGTCCAGCAACAAGGACCCTATCCCGGCCTTCTCTCGTGTCTATCCCGCCCCTTGCTCACAAAGTATTGTGCATTGAGGCAGTGCAAGCCTCCCCATTCCGCATGCCAGCTCGGGAAAAGGGTAAAGCCGCCTGCACCTCCACATTCCGTTTCCAGCCATTAGCCCACAAATTTTTGAGGATACTGCCTTGTCCCAATTCCTAAAAGGGTAAATTTATATTGCATCCAACTATCCACTCGTCACCCTTCACAGCTCCTGAAGGAGCGAAGCTAGCTGCCGCATCTTGTGCGCGCTACTGGCCTTCTGCCGCTCCACGGCCTCCAGCAACTGCCGCATCTCACCCTCCACCTCCGCCACCCGTGCACTCAGCCGTGCCGCCTCCGCGCCACGTGCCGCCGCCGCCTCACTGGCCGCTGCAGCCGCGTGGCGTTGATCCTCCAGCTGCATGGCTGCATCCTCCAGCTGTGCACGCGCATTGTCTAGCTCCTTCATCAGGCGGTCTATGCGGCCACTTGCTTCCCCTAGCCGTGACTCTGCAGTCGCGCGGGCTGCCGCCGCTGCTGTGGCATCGGAACGGGCAGTGTCGCGTTCGTCCCGAAGCTGCTGTGCACGCTTCTCGAAGAGAACTGAAAGGGGTTTTGGGGCGGAAGTGAAGCAGGACTGTGAAGGTATGGAATGTGCAAGGCGTATATCAGTGCTACTGGTGCATCCGGCCTATGGATGCAGCGCCTTGCGCCTTGGCAAGCAACAAATGTACATTGACTGCAATCGGAATGCATGCACCGAAAACGCATGAACACTCATAGTCCAGGCTGAGCACAGGCTTCCCTCCATCCCAATCTGCTCCCACCCAGCCTGACCCAGCAGCTCGCACCTTGAACTCTGTCCACCTCTTCCTGCACGTAGGCGAGCATACGATCCTTCTCCGCCACTTGCTCTGTCTTGGTACGCAGCAGCGCCTCGAAATCTTTCAGGCGAGATTGAGCTTCTCCTAACTCTGCTCGAGCAGCTGCAGCAGCAGCCTCTGCTAGTTGGGCCTCCTGCCTACAAACGCAACAATGCAGCCCCGGCAAGGAACCGCCCGTTCCCCTCGTAGAGATTCAGTCGACAATTAGCGGGAAGGGAGCAGATTCTTGGAAGAGCTGCTCCACTGAGGTAAGGGATGGCAACAGAGGTAGCTACTGGCAAAAGAACTCGGGGGTATTGGGCCTTCAAGTTAGACCGCTCCCGTGTATGGAGCGGCCGGACGCTGATCAAGGGACAGGAGCTCGACTTCTCGGTCAGACACCGTAGCATACATACGGGCTTGTGACAGGACACCATGCTCTGCCACGTGTTCTCAAGAGGCAAGATCGCCCAGCTCAAGGAGTCTCCATAGCGTGCCATCGCCAGGCGCTCAGAGATCCCGCTACACGGCATTAGAGGCCTTGGGCCTATGCGGTTCTGGAACGTCACAGTCCAACAACGTCATTCTTATCACGAGGAAGCTCTATACACTGCCTGGTGATAAGGCTGCCTCGCACCTGAGCTGCGCCTTCTCGCCGTCGCTTTCCTCGTCGTCGTGCTCGTGCTGTTGCTGCTCCCGTGCCAATGCTGCTTCCGCTTCTTCTGCTGCCCGCCGAGCCTCATCTGCCTCTACCTGTCCGGCCAAAAAGCAGAGGGCAGCCTATAAGGTACGGTCTGGAGAATAATGAGCGGGCCCAGGGACGGTGGGCGTGAAACGAAGGGGCTGCACAAGAACCTGTTCTGGGACGGGTTTGCTGTGCTATGGTGTGCACGGGCGTGCAGGCATGGACTACAGGTATGCCCCCAGTGGAGGGCTCATGTCAACAGCGCATCTTCCAATAACGCACAACGAACTTATGCGTGCACTTCAACCGCCTTGTCCTTCGCTCTCCCGATGCCACTCTCCCCCGTCAAACCCTCGATACTGCCTACCTGCAGGTCAGCGATTTCTGCCTTCAACGACGCGATGGTGTCGTTTGCACTGTCCAGCATGGCCACCTTGATCTGGGATGCGGCAGGTGTGCAGCACAGGTGCGGAAAGAAGGCGATCGGACTAGGTATGCAGATGGAGGTGGGAATGACTACGATGTGAGGACTTCCGTGCGATATTATGGCACACAACGGCTCAAGTTTAAGCAGCTATAACCCTAGATGGCAGCTATCCATTAGATGCACAGGACTGCCCGCCACTTTACCTTGACGATGTCCTGCTGCGCCGCCACCTCCTGCCGTAACCTCTCGGCAAGGGCCTCAGCCTTTGCGATATCCTCGCGTGCTGCAGCCAGGGCAGCCTCCGCCGACCTGACCCGCGCACCCAGCTCGTCCGCCGTGCGAGAGGAGCTCACCTGCCGGACGAAGTTGCAAAATCGTGTCAAGGCTCTTAGAAATGCGAGCCTAAAGGCACTGGGTAGGTATACATACTAGACGTGCAGAGCGGAAAGGAAAACCGCGACTTGGAAGGCCCCACAGGTAAGGGATGGCCAAGCAGGGGGGTTCCGGGCGGGAACTGCATAGGGGCTTATGGCATACGTCAGGCCACACAGTCTGGTCCCTTATTCGCCATCTCCCACACCTCTGTCAGTTACCGCCATGTACCTGCAGCTCGGTGACACGGCGCTCCGCCTCCTGCCAACACCGCCGTGCGTCTTCCAACTGCTCCCGGTACATGTCCCGCTCCGCAGCGGCCCTCTTTAGATGGAGATTCTCCGCTGCCAGTGCATCGAAAGCGCCGGGGCTGCACGCCTGTAAACAGCAGGGCAACACGATGCTACAGTAGCACGGGAGCCCCTAGGGTCCCTCCTAGGGATAGGACAGGAGCTTATGCATTATTCCATGCATGGTACTCCCGGTGGCTTTACGGGATGCAAAGATATCCGTTGCATGGGTGGTGGGCGCTCCCTAGTCTTAGTGGATGGAGCCAAAATGTTCTGAGATACCAAATTTATCGTCAGCAGGGCAACACACGTGCCACCTCCTGCGCTACTTCTATACCGTCCCCTCAGCACGTTGACCGTATCACCTTCAACCTGGCCGCCAGCGCTTCCTTCTCCCGCTGCAGCGACTGGATGGCGGCCTTCTGCTGCTGCACCACGGACGTCAAGTCCGCTACCAGCGCCTCACCCTCCCGTTGCTTGGTCGCTGCAGCCTGCAAAAGCATTTGCAAGTAGGGAGGTCATTCCCTGCCCGCAGCAAACGACCACTCGTGCACATTAACACGGCAGCGTGACTTGCGTTCTGGGACTCCTAAATAGGTTTGCGACGTGAACGGCAAGACAGGGTGCTTGCAGGGTGCGAGCCTAGAGAAAAGCTGCTTCCAAAGGGGCAAGCCAGCGCCCCGCCTAGCTCAATCTAGCGCCCTTTGACCCGAGGCACAACCTTCGCTTGGCTCAAACCCATGTCAAGTTCTGGTAAACGAGATCCAAGGCTTACAAAGGGTCAAACCTCACCACCCCTAATGTCGCAAATGCGCAGACATGCCGTTGCCCCTTGGCACACCTGCAGGGCCGCACGCAGCTCAGACACCTCCGTTTGAGCCGCCCGAAGTAGCTGGTGCGCGGCCTGCTGCTCCTTGTCGCTCTCCTGTGCACCGGTGTTGGATTAACAGCTGAAGTTGGACAACTCTTATCCACAATATCTGGCTAAGGAGGGCCTCAAATAGCAGGCGCACTGTTACGGCATAGTAGTTTGGACAGTCCAGTTAATTCCGACATATTTTTCTTTTCAAGCGGTAGGATAATAGTTTTCCTCCTGCGTTTTTATGATAACTAGCGATTTCAGACAGCCTTCGGCTGGCCCTTGTGCCCCCGGCTCGTATGGGCAATTTGGGAGAGTAACGCAACCCTCGGTGCAACACACACACACACACACGACCCAAATTGTTCCACACCCCGGTTTACTGTGAAACTGGTTTTCCGCTTGTAATGCGAAAAGAGCACCACCTGCTCAATATGTTTGGTGGCGTGGCACTCTGCTCTTGGCAGGAAGTGCAGAGGATCTGCGTGTAGACAGAGCCACCCAGATCTGTGTCGCAAGTATCCGCACCTTGAGCGCAAACTGCAGCTGCACCTTGAGGAATGCGATCTGCTCTTGCAACCCCGCCCGTTCCTGCTGAGCCTGCGCATCAAGCCGCACAGCGTGGTGTAAAGTGACGCTGTTTACTACAGGCGGGAGGAGAAGAAACGCGGAGGTCTGGGGTACAAGGACACTTGCATGGCATGGGCGAGATAGACAATTAGTGTTGTTTCTCTTCAATTTGATCCCTCATCTCAGGTGATTCCCAACGTTATCGCTGGACCTCTCCCACGCCCCGTCTCTTACTCCACCACATTGCGAACACCCACTCCTAACACACGCACCTGCAGCGCAGCCGCCCCTTTACCCCGTTCCTCAGCCGCGGCTCGCTCCTTCTCAACTGCTGCTCGGAGTGCTTCCTGCGCAGAAAGACACGGCATTTGTCTGGTAAGAGCATATGGTGCGAGGTCGATAGCCTTATTGCGCACCTCATGCTGCCGCGCCGCCGCCTCGAGATCCTTTTCTTGCTGCAAGCGCGCCGCTTGCAGCGCGGCCGTGAGTGTGTTAATCTCGGCGCGTGCTTCCACGTCCTTGCGCTGGTGCTCTGCTAGCTGCTGCTCCGCAGTGGAGAGACGAGCCTTGAGCACATCAATCTGTGACGACATAAATGAATGTTAGCAATGTCTACGGAGCGATAAATCCGAGGAGACGGTTGCAATGCACAGGGATATGGAAACGGTGCTGGTAACCGGAACACGGCATAAAACCTGTGCCGACTGGGAGGTCAGGAAGTTGTCCGCAGGTGCTCATGCCAAGCGCCGAGCTTTTGGACTCTTGCTGCGCGTCCCGGCACGCAACGCCCTGCTTGAAGAGCCAGGTCCCCAGCCGCATAGAACGACGCCCTGTCAAAACGAACTACATCAGCTGTAAGTGGTGCAGACTCTATCCAGTACTACGTATGACGCGAACCTGCGCATTTGCGTCCGCCATTGTTTGCGCTATCTTGGCCGTCATGGATACCGTAACACTGCTGCTCTGCTGCAGCGCCGCTTCCAGGCCAGCCACCTTCTGCTCTGCCGCCGCCATAGCGGCCCGGAGCACGGGCAAATCAGCTGCCGCTGCCTGCGCTGTCGCCAGCTGCTCTCGCGCCGCTGCTTCGGCGGCTGCGGCTCTCCGACGCTCGTCGTCCAATGCGGCAGCGGCCGCTTGTTGCTGACCAAGCAACTGCTGGTTTAGGCGTTGAAGTTCCTCTCGGAGCCTGGGGCAACAGTTGTGCTCCAAGTCGACAAAGACCGATATTCAGTTATGCTCTTATACAACCCAACCTGGCATCCTACTCGAAAAGATACTGCTAACCATGCAATAAAGTTTAGATTTCCTTTGGCATACGCGCGATGGCGAAGGCAACGACGTTCCGCTGTCCCAGGATCCAAAAGGCGTTTAAATGCATGAAGGGCGCCTGATATGGATGGTGCATGGTGCACGATGAGCCACAATCAGAGGTTATGGAACTGCCGTTCACGACGCGACATGACTTAGCACCATGAGGGCTCCCTAATTGTCTTTTTGAATCCATGTTGCCTGGCAATGTGGGTACTGCGCTACCACGTGCTTCACCGCTCTGGTCGCACCGCCGCCCTTACCTGGCCACGTCCTTCTCCAGCCCGACACAGCGCACCCGCTGCTCCTCCTCTCCGCGCAGGTGCCCCGCAATGCGTTGCTGTGATTCGGCGGCGGCATGACGCGCCGACTCAAGCTCCTGCCTGCCGGGTGCAGTGTTCAAGGGAATGCGCGACGGTACGTTGAGGTGACTACTATGGGTTGCATTAAGGCAACATGCACGCTGCATGTATCAAGTTAGGCCCATTGATGGTGTAAGCAGTATTGTGAAGTAGAAAACTAGGTGCGCGAACGCCGTCATGACTTATCCTGAGCCTGACGAAACCTTTCACAAACGGCGATCGAGGCGGCTAATCTTCTTATTCACAGTTAAGAACGTGGGATGGGGCCTTCCTTTCCCTATAGTTGAAGCTAGTACTACAGGTTGCAACCGGTCGCATCCACGTTGTGACCCTCATAGGAACCGAAGCACAGGTCCCATCACATGACTCACTCTCCCTCGTGGCTCGAAAGGCCGCGGTCTATCACCTACAGCGCCTTTGACACCGCGAACGATGCTTCCCGGAAGCCGTCCTCCACCCTGCGATGTGCATCCTCCTGGGCCGCCGTAATAGCTTCCTGCATGGCCGCCCGCAGGGACTCCTCCGCCGCGTTTCGCCGCTCAAGCTCGTCTGGGAAGCAGGTCAGGTGCGGGATGGGGGAAAACGGTGCGCCTTACGTGAAAATTGTGTTAGTATGATCGTCACAGTTTTCCGGGGCGGAGCGCTCGCTTGCTTCCTGGATAAGGCATGGACGCATGGACTCCGTCACTCGCTCGTGCTATGAAGCACTAAGGCGGGTCGCGTCGGTAAGTTCGCCGATACCTGCCATGGTGGATTAATCCTTTCTTTCCTTCGGCAGGCATAGCTCATCCAAAGAGCAAATGCACTGTCATGACGCAAATGATGGTTGTCTGGTGTATTCAATAATCCTTTCAGCACCTGTTCGCGCTGTACTTGTCTTTACAGCCCTCCTTACCCGCCAGCTTGCTGAGCTGCTGGCGCATCTCCACAGCCTCCACCTGCAGCCGGCGCACCAGCGGTGTGTACTCCGAGGTCTGCGCGGCTGCGTCCGAATGCAAAACCTTCACCACACGCTGCTGCGGCTGCGATGACTGCTGACGAACTGAAGCAAGCGTCTGGAGCTGGTCGGGCGCAGGCAAGACATCTACTGTTGTCCTCGATCCGTCGCGATCCCCCTGCTGCAGCAGCTGTTCTTCCTCATGGACCTCCGACAGCGTGCCTGAAGTGCCTCCTCCCACGCCTCCTGGGTGCCGCAGCTGCCGATTCCCGGGAGCACGTGAATGAATCTGAAGGAGCGATGACGTAGCCGCAGGCACCACGCTGCTACGCTCCACCGACAGTGCGAATTGGAGGTTCTGTGGCGCTGTCGTTGGCCCCGGCGGATGTGTCTGAGAATATGGGCCAACCCGAGGCGGACTTGCGGGCTGTTGTTGATATTGCTGCGTCCCCGGCCGGAGTTGCTGCAAACTATTGTCGTATCTGCCTACTGTGTCAACCGGTGGCTTTGCCTGCCAGTCGGGAGACTGGGTGGGATGCGCTGTCGGCCGGGTCCGCTGTTGAACCTGCACCAGAGGGGGCGGTGCGGAAGGTGCCGGTGCTGGCTGCACCGGTGGGACAGGCTCAAAGCTCTGCAGCCGAACGGCAGCATACTGCTGGGCTGCCTGCACGTCGTATGGGGCGGCGAGCGCATCGGCACTGCTGACGGAGTCTAATTGCGTCACGTGCGCGAGCACCGTAGCCAGCGCCTGCATGTAGTTGGGCAGCTGGCATACCGGGTTTCCCACTACCTGGAGCGAGCGCAAGCTAATACATCCTACTAGAACTGAGAACGCCTGCAGGTTGTGTAGCTGGTTGTGCTTCAGGTTGAGCTGTCGCAGTTTGCACTGCGGGCCCTGCAGCGCTGTCAACCCGGCGATACTAGTGATGTAGTTGTAGGAGAGGTTCAGCTGCTCGAGATTAGCGAGCCCGTCCAAGCCCTGCACGGCCTGGAGGCGGTTGCTTGCCAGGTTGAGCAACGTCAGGCGGGTGAGGCAGCGCAGCGACCCAGGGTCTAAGCTGCTGACAGCGTTAGACGAAAGGTTCAGTTCCACCAGGTTTGTTAGACCCTGTACACCATCGATGCGCGTTATGTTATTGCCATGGAGGCACAGCCTCCGAAGGCCTGTCAAGCGGTGAAGTTCGGGCACTTGGCCAATGCTAAGGAGACCCTGGCCTATAAATGACAAGCTGTCACCCTTATCCGGGTCGAGAACGGTAGCTGAGATGTTCATGTATACAAAGATAGCTACCTGGGATGCGCACTAAGCCCAGAGGCTGATAGCAGCAGCGTCGCGGAGCCTACGTCAAAGAATGGAATCATAGTCAAAATACGATAACTGCAGTACCGCGCAAGCTAGTGTCCTGTGTGAGAGCTTCTCCTGGTATTCCCAGATGGACGGATTTCTGGACGACAGACAGAACGAAAACAAACATTATGTACGACGGCTGCGAAAAATCTTGCACCATAAGAAACAATAACAATTAACGCATATTGGATTTGTATAGCTTGCACGATAAACGAGCTTACGGTTGAAGGGCTGATCCAGCTCTTAGGCCTGCCCACAATGCAGACTACCAAGACGAGCCGGAAAGCGGCCTTCACTGGCATTAAGTCGCGCGTCCATGTTGTTGTTCTGCGGCCAGTACAGGCATCTCGCGCTCTGGTGCCTGTGGTCCAGTCCGTCGCTGCAGGTTAGCCTGCACTGTGTTAGTGGTTTGGTGATTTCCTGGTCTAGCGCCTCAACAAATCCACCTGATTGCATATATGGGTGGGGAGGATCCTGCACATCGTTTGCGTTGTGGCCTTTGGAATGTCGAATCTTATACGCAGGTATCCGCGCAGGCGCGACGGAGGCAGCAAAGGTTGATGGGCGGGCGCTGCGCCGTTCATTGAACCAGACGGGTCGTTATGTGCGTCAGCCAACCAATGATCCTGTCAGTCAGCAGCTTATGGACGAGCACGGCGTGGGTTACTCCACTAATGGCCTGGTTGCCCAGATGCGGAATGACGGCAACATCTGGAAGCAGGGGACCGTGACCGTCAAGCTTGCGAAGGCTTACGGCTACTGCTGGGGAGTGGAGCGCGCTGTGCGCATGGCATATGAGGCTCGTCAGGCCCACCCGGACAAGAAGCTCTTCGTAACGAATGAGATTATCCACAACCCAGAGGTTAACAAGGTGGGCTATGTTATGTGTTAGCGGGTCGGAGCGATGCACACAAGTAGTATTGCTTAGGTACCTGTCCGACAAGTTAAATGTACGGAATGCACGGTCGCACCATTGTTGCTAATGAAACGCGCTATGAATGGGGCGCGGGCACGTCAGCGTTTGTATTCTGCTGCCCAGGAGCAGTCAAAGTGGGAGTTTCTCTAATCGAAATGAACATTACCTAAAGGGAACAGCCACATGTAGCGGTGGTTGAGGGTGTGACTTGTCCCGATGTTATGATGCCATGACCCATTTCCCCCCCATGACAGCGGCTCAAGGAGATGAATATCGAAATTATTGAGGACGAAGGTGACGGCAAGGATTACAGCCAGATCGGCAACGGAGATGTTGTCATCTTCCCAGCGTTCGGTGCAACAGTGAAGGAGCTGAGCGACTTCCGCGACAAGGGTGTGCAGATGGTGGACACCACTTGCCCCTGGGTCGCCAAGGTGTGGAACTCCGTCGATACGCATACGCGCAAGCAGTACACCTCAGTAATTCACGGCAAGTACTCTCACGAGGAAACTATCGCCACGGCGTCTTTCGCCAGCAACTACGTGATTGTGAAGGACCTCAAGGAGGCCCAGTACGTGTGCGACTACATCCTGCACGGAGGAAATAAGGAGGAGTTTCTGGCCAAGTTCTCCAAGGCAGTGTCCAAGGGCTTCGACCCTGACACCATGCTGGACCGTGTGGGCCTTGCCAACCAGACCACCATGCTTAAGGGCGAGACAGAGCAGATCGGGAAGATGCTGGAAGCGACCATGATGCAGAAGTATGGTCCGGCGGAGCTCAACAATCATTTCCTACTTATGGAGACGATTTGCGACGCGACGCAGGAGCGCCAGGATGCTCTGTACGATATGGTGGCTGACCCAGAGGTGGATTTTTTGATTGTGGTGGGCGGTTTCAACTCATCCAACACGAGCCACCTGCAGGAGATTGCGGAGCACAAGGGTCTGCCGTCGTTTTGGGTGGACAGCGCGGCACGCATCGACGTGGAGAAGAACACGGTGCTGCACAAGCTGGCGCACGGAGAGCTGCGGGAGACGGTTGGATGGCTCACGCCTGGCAAGCCGGTGACCATTGGCATCACATCGGGTGCATCCACGCCGGATCGTGCAGTAGAGGAGGTGCTGGCCAAGGTTTTCAAGATCTACGACCCCAACTTTACTGGCATTGCACCCAAGGATTGCGGCCGGCTTGCCACGCCCGAGGAGCACTGAACGAGGATTCATCTGTTTTCAGGTTGCTAATTGTCTGTTGTAGTGTGCCGGTATCTTTGTGAGTTCCGTTGGTTGTATGCGATGCCTAATGCTAGCGTGGACAGTGGTGTGTGCTTGTTTGCGAGAGGGGTTGTGTGCACAAGAGAGCAGCCATGAGGGATTGTGTGGGTTGCAGGGTTAGTCGATAGCTGGCTGGTGGTAATTCCTCAGCGCAAATGAGCAGGTAAGAGCAGACGGTGTGGGTACATATTCACGCGAGCTGTCACGTATACGTGTAATTTTGGGTGCGCCATGCGCAGGTGCTGTGCTAAGGCATGTGCTACCGTTGCATATCGAAGGCCCTTTTGAAGGGCTTCTTTTTCTTTGTTTATTGGTCCTTTCGCAAGCTAAAAGGACAGAGTTGAAATTCAGACCTTGTGATGAGCATAATAAGCTTTTACTATGTCGGATGCTTGGAAACGCTGCGATACATGTCCCTGGATTTGCTATGGTTACAAGCGGTGTAAAGCCCTGACCAATAATGCTATCTGAAATGCACGTGTAAGCATTAAATAGGGGATATGGATGCCTACACAACGGTTACACCAGAGATGCCTATGCGCAGTTTCACGCCGCAGTAGGGCGACGTTGCTGCAAAACCTCAAGCGCGGCGTACATAGATCTTCACAGCGCGGTCCACCATGGCGCGCCATTTTGTGGCGCTGTCCTTGCCGCGCCCGTTGGGTCCGCGCAGCGATGGGAACTCGGTCGCCTTGCCCTGGGCATCCAGAAACACGATGAAAAGCGTCTCGCCGCGGCCGCAGCTTAGGATTTCGCCGGCGAAGGCATCATTAAGGGCTGTGGCCAGGTCGCTGCGGGTTTGCAGCGCCTGCCGGGACAACTTGATGCCCCACCGAACTCCCGCGTGAAAGCACTTGACAAAGCGGTTATCTGCAATCATGTCGCCGCACTATGTTCAGTTTCGAGCGATACGTGGTGAACTCGGAATGGCCATGAGAGTATCAGCTGCACGCAGACAATTGCTATGTGCAGCTTTCTTTGTCGCCAGTGTGAACGGACAGTTGCCCTACACGACCATTGCTAAGATCAAAATGCTCCCCGGCGCATGAACCCCTACCAACCTGCAACCTGCCCGAGTGCCTTGGCTTGTTCCTTCACAGCCCCGCTCGCTGCCGCAGCTGCGGCCTCCAGCGGGCTCAGCTGTTGCTCCACCATCTGTTGCTGCAACTGCTGCTGCTGCGCCGCTGCTCGGGTCAATCCCGGCTCAGCTTGTGCAGCCAGCCCGCCAGCGGTCCCCGCCACATCCCTGACTTGCATTACGACGGCTTGGCCGCGGGATCGGTCAGGATCCCTGGCGTCCTGTGAAGAAGGTCAAGTACCTTGTCAGGTTGTCGCGTTGTAAACAGCGTACCTGAAGGCACCCACGATTTACGGTCTAAGATCATGAACACTACAGCAAATCAAAACAGCATTAAATCTGCTATGATGTAACTGGCTGCCTGATGCCGCACCTGGATGCTTGGCTGCTGCGCCCCAAGCGGCTCGCCTTTGCGGCTGCTACCACCGGGGTCGGTCCGAGCAGGGATGGCGCAGCGAGAAGGGGGATTCGTGGGTGTGCCCATCGGCCCGGCAGTGCGTTGCTCCCGGTCCCTCTCCCTCTCCCTCTCCCTCCGCCGATCTAAATCCCTCTGCCGCTCGTGCTCCCTCTCCCGCTGCTTTCCGCCATCCCTATCGCCTTTGCTGCCATCCCGATCTTCCCGGTTGCTGCCTGCAGGGCCACCAGAAAATATGCTGATAGGGCTAGATGGTAACAGGATAGAACCGCGGACGAAAGCACGCTTGGATGGATGAAATCACAATCACAACGACGACCCTGCCCGCGCTCAGTCGAATTAGCCGCCCACGCGATGATGTCAGCAGTTATATCCCATCCATCACATTGGCATGGGAGCACTTTGTTTGAGCCACAGCCAAACACCGATGTTGGGCGCTGTCCTGAAGACCTCTTCGTCCACATCCGAAGTTCGAGATGGCGCAAGACCCAGAGGCACCGCTGCATGCCCCCCGAACAGCTCACCTCCTTTGTGCCGCTTGTGCACCTGCAATTCCGATTCAGACCGCGATTCCTCTGACCCGCTGGACGTCCGTGTAGACTGGTACACCTGTTCTTCATCCTCGTCATCGGAGTCGTCAGAATCCGCCTCGCCTTCCTCTTTGCGCTCCTCATCGGATGCTGCATTATCGCTATCGTCTATGCCTCGCACGCGGCGTTGCCGTTGCCGCGTAGCCGGTGGGGGCGTGCGCTTCCTGTGGCTTCCGCTGCCGCCCGCATAGGTCCCGGTGCGGCCCCGGTCCCGGTCGCGCTCACGTTCCCGGTCGCGCTCCTTTTCGGTCCTTTGCCGTTTCACCAGGGCCCCAGCAACCCCTGTGCCCTCCGAGCGAGTTTCCTTGTCGCGCTGAGGCTGCTGTTGCTTGGCCGCGCCGGTGGAGTCGAAAGAAAGCCCGTACGTTGCGTTGGCGCGACGGGAGGTGCGTGTTAGTCCGTTCAGCTCTCTGTGGAGCTGGCGCACGAGAGCTTCCGTCTTGGGGTCGATTTCTGCGGCCATGCCGCTCAACCGGCAAGGTCGCAGTTACAATTACCTTAACTTGGTTCGCATGCTGTTAATTTATTCGTCATCATACTGTAATCACGGCAAGACCTGATATCCTTGGCCAGGTGGAATGATGGAAGTTGGTGAAACCGGTTGGTACTACATTTAGCGCGGTACTTTTCTGTTGAATTACTCGCAACGTGTTTTCGGTGATCTACACGTTTTACTTGCAAACTGGGCCAGCCAGGGCCCTTAGGTCTTGGGCGGTTTGAAGGAACCGAGCTAAAGGCTAGGGGGGCCAAGTGCTTTTTGAGCCCGACAGGGCTAAGGCCCGTGGGCAGAAATGTTCCTTTACTCTCTTACTCTTAGCCGGGCCTCTGGTATTCAGGTAGGAGTTTTCCAAGCCTGGCCTGCCGCCGCTAACTTCTTCACGAAACATGTTGCTTATGAAAGACGATGTTCGACGATATTCACACTTATTGGACTGACTTTGCGACTGGGTGCTGCAGAGTGCTGTATATGGTAATTTCTCGGCGCCGAAGGCACAGGAGGTGGTGGTTTCGCGCGGGAAGATCCTGGAGCTGCTGAGGCCTAATGAGAATGGGAAAATGCAAACGGTCGTGGCGACGGAGGTGTTTGGTTGCATTCGTTCCATGGCGGCAGTCCGCCTTACTGGCTCTATCTTGGACCACCTGGTCGTGGGTTCGGACTCTGGAAGGATCATCCTGCTGAAGTTTAATAAGGACAAGAACGTGTGGGTTAAGGTCCATCAGGAGACCTTCGGTAGATCGGGCTGCCGGCGGATTGTCCCGGGCCAGTACATAGCCGTTGACCCGAAGGGCCGAGCATGCATGATTGGCGCTGTGGAAAAGCAGAAATTTGTCTATGTGCTGAATCGCGATGCGGCAGCCAACCTCACCATTTCGTCGCCACTGGAGGCACACAAGTCTCACCATATCACTTTCAGCATTTGTGGCATGGACTGCGGGTTTGATAACCCCATTTTCGCCGCCATTGAGCTGGACTACTCGGAGGCGGACCAGGTGCGGATAAGGACTTGGGTGGATTACGGGTAGTGGCAGAGGGCTTGGAGGGACCCACGGGCCATGCAGGTTGCCCCCGAGCGAACCGTATGCATTTCATGCATCCAGTACACACGGGTGATCATCCAACACGCCATCCCGGTTCTAGCCACTTGATTTTCGTGTGCGGTGTGCATGCGCAAAACCGTATGCTGCTTGTCAGAGAGCAGGCGTTCGCGGCCGGGCTCAGCTGACACAGATTAGCGGAGCTTGGTAGCACTCGGCAGATTCGCTGCATTTTCCTGCCGCTGACCGGTTTAAGTACGGCAGCCTCTCACAGCGCTACCGACCGCTTTCCTATGGGCCGCGTCCCCGCCAGGACCCTACGGGCGAGGCAGCATCGATGGCTCAGAAGCACCTGACCTTTTATGAGATGGACCTGGGCCTCAACAACGTACTGCGCAAGTGGACGGAGCCCATCGATAACGGAGCAAATCTGCTGGTTGCGGTGCCGGGCGGAGCGGACGGCCCGGGAGGCGTGCTAGTGTGCGCGGAGAACTTCATCATTTATAAAAACCAGGTGTGTCTCCAAATGCCACGGAAAGGGGGTTGGCATGAAGGGTTGGCAACTTGGAAGTATTCAGCGGTGGTTTGGGTGGCTTGGCCCTTGCTCCAAGTCCGCCTCACATAAGGACTCTTTATACGTACGAAGAAATCTGAGCACAAAACAGTGAGGATGGGTGCCAGGCTGAAGTTTGCGAACAAGTGTGGATGCGATAATATCGTCCTGGACCGCAATGACCGAAGCATGGACCTGACAGCACTCCACTGTGTACTGGGCAAGGCCGCGGCAACTGCTCTCAAATTCAGAAGTTTGAGCATCAATGAAAGCTAAGTAAGGGGGTCATGAATGTGGATGCACTGGCAAAGCTGCAAGCGTACCAACATAAGTAGCCACAGCTTCCACTCTTTGCAGCTCACGGCCATTTCCTGCTGTGCTGCATCGCCGCCATGATAGCTAATTATGCGTATACCTATATGCACCTTCCGCAGTGCGTGGGGGCGTGGTGTCAGCGGACCACACTCTCCCTGGGATTTCCAGGTCTTGCCCAGCATGTTTGGTTTGTAATGCACTTCTTCCTGTGAGGCCCTGACCTGTCCCTTCCGCGCCTTCCCTCCTGATGTTGTATCTGTGGCCACCTCAGGACCACGAGGAGGTCCGTGCCGTCATTCCCCGCCGCAGCGACCTCCCTGGTGATCGCGGCGTGCTCATTGTCAGCTACGCGACGCATAAGAAGAAAGCCTACTCGTTCTTCCTGGTGCAGGTGGGAGAGGGCGCATAGCCGTATAGCCATGAGCAGAGATAGGTGTGGACCCTGGTGTTACAGCAGGGCGCAGCCCTAAGGGTTCACCCTAGCATTGTAACTCATGGGTTGGATGTATTGGGAGTTATTTATATGTTCCTGGTCCCGTGGCATTTGGGAGGCTGCCGGAGGCCATTACTGTGTATTTTGCTTGAAACGCTGTGTGCGATGGCGCAAGTGTACTTTAAGGAGCAGCACGCGTAGCTCGCTGTTCAAGAAGTGTGTTGAAAAGCCATATATGGTGCTGTGGCGAGTTGCCGCATACTGAACGGGCAGCTACCAGACGGGACTTGACTGCGTTGCTTTCATGAGGTGCGTCCAGACCTAGTAAGGTTTTGCAGCATGGCGCAGAGCGAGTACGGCGACATCTACAAGGTGACACTGGCGTACGAGGGCGAGGCGGTGACCGAGCTAAAGATCAAGTACTTCGACACCATTCCGCCGTGTACTTCCATTGCCGTGCTGAAAACTGGCTTCCTGTTCGCGGCCAGCGAGTACGGCAACCACGCGCTCTACCAATTCGTGGTACGAATTAGGAAGGATATCATGACATGTATGTAGGGCTGTATGGTTAGCACGTGCCTATCCGCCATGGCAAGCAGTTTGGGCGGTTGTCCTGGGAGTTAGTTGGGGTTGCTCACGAGTTTGACAGGAAGTTGGGCGAACGCAGCTCAAATTATGTTTCAGTTGAGGCTCGAAGGTGGTCGCACTGCTACGGCCATTTGCTCTCTACAAGTGATCAAGAGAGCAGCCTATGCCAGTGTCTGCCGCTTGCACCGGGCTCGCGTAAACTTCTGGCCCTTTTAACAACGAAATGTCCTATCCTCGTGATAGCACCCGTGCCCCACGTGGCATGGCGCTGTCATCCATTGCATGACGGTGTTTGTGCCCTCTGTCTAGCCGTGGAGCTCCGCCGCAGACACTGTCGGATTCTTCCGCGGTCGTTTGCATTTATTCACTATTTCTCCCTATCCTTTTGGCCCTAATGCGACCTCCTCGAGCGACCGACGACTGTGTCCCGCATTCTTTTGCCATTGGCTGCTTGCGCTAACTTAACAACTTGCAGGGCACGGGTGAGGACGATGAGGATGTGGAGAGCAGCAGCGCCGCGTTGGTGCAGACGGAGGAGGGTTTCCAGCCTGTTTTCTTTGAGCCACGGCCGCTGAAGAACTTGCTGCTCATTGATGAGATGGCCTCGCTAATGCCCATCACGGATATGAAGGTAGGCACGGGCGACGGCAATTGGGGGGAGACGACTGCAGCCGCGGAGACGGGATGTGTTGCGCGCACTGGGGGATGTTGAGCAGGAACGACTGGTTGATTTCGGCCACTTGCTCGCACGGAGGGCCGAGAAGCGGTGTATGTTGTCCTGTCTTTGCCTAACTGCAGCGAACGGCGCCCATACACGAGAACTTTGTACCCCTATCGTGGTTGCCGCTTGTGTGTCCAAAACCTTACCAGCTGAGACTCCATCATAATGCCATGGTACCACGGTCCTGTCTGCCCGTCCAAGTTTCACCAGGGCCTCGGACCCCAAAGCCACGTAGGGTTTAGGGCTATCCTGTAACTTGCTTACGTCTGATTCCGTCAAGGTGTCGCGCCGCTCGCCTTACCGTTGTGCAGGTGGCCAACCTGCTGAATGAGGAAATCCCGCAGATCTATGCGCTGTGTGGCCATGGTCCGCGTGCCTCTTTGTCCGTGTTGCGCCCTGGGCTCGCGGTGACGGAACTGGCGGTCAGTCCGCTGCCGGGCGCGCCTACCGCGGTGTGGACAGTTCGCCGCAACGCAACCGACGAATTCGACGCGTTCATTGTTGTGTCGTTCGCAAATGCTACGCTGGTACGTGGTGGGGCGGGCTTGCATAAGTGAAGGAAGCCGTTGAGTTTTGACCGCGCTGCTGTTCCTGCCTCTGCAGGTGTTTAGCATTGGCGAGGAGGTTAAGGAGACCAACGAGAGCGGGTTCTTAGGCACCGTTCCGACCTTACATACGCAGCTGCTGGCGGATAACTCGATGCTGCAGGCAAGTCGCGATGAGTCTGGCGATGGCGGTGGGGCATGGATTGGCTGCAGAAAAGTAAGAATGTTGGAGGCTTCCCGCTTCGGAGTAGCCACGGGCTGAAAGGTGAAGGATGGAGTGCAGCTTAAATCTCTCGGTCGTTGATAAGGGCCCACAGGATTGTGGCAGGTGATTTTTTTGTTGCTTCCCCAGAATGGTTGTCGCGGCCATGAGCCATAATACAGCTTAGCTGGCGTGGTGTAATGTCACGTGGTTTGATGTCCCAGAGATGCCGCTTGAAGCCTTTTTTGACCTATCTGAGCCGCAGGTCTATCCGGGTGGTCTGCGTCACATCAAGCCTGACCGGCGCATTAACGAGTGGAAGGTACCCGGGCGGCGCAACATCAAGGCCGCGGCGTCAAACGAGAAGCAGGTGCGGCGTGCTTGCCCTGGTGGACTTACACAATGGAAGTTGTGTCCGCCGTGCGGTTCCAACATATTTCATATGCGGCTCCAGTGTGCAGCATTGTGAGTCACGCAAATGTGGCAGAGCTAGGAGAGAACCTCTCCGGCTGAACCTCTTGTTGATTGCTCGCACGGCAAGGCGTCGCCGACTTGGTCCGTTAGGGTTCACCACCTCGCCGTCAACGCAGTCGCTACTCTTTCACCCAAAGCGCCAACCCTTCAATAGTGGGTACCTCAGGCCTAAGTGCTCCTCGCAAGCCCGCGGCCTGGTGCGCACAGTCAACGTGGTGAGCCGCTCGCACACGTATCCTTATGCACGCGTTACTAAGAGCAGAATACGTCCTCGTCAAGGTGCTTACTCATGTCACATCGCACACATGTATCCCTTGCTCCGCTTGCAGGTGGCAATTGCGCTTCAGGGCGGTGAGGTGACCGTGTTCGAGCTGGAGGTTGGCACGGGCCTATTGGTGGAGGCGGAGAAGCGCGACCTGGGCGAGGACGTCTCCTGCTTGGAGATCCCACCGGTGCCGGAAGGCCTGGTGCGCTCCTCCTTCCTTGCCGTGGGTACCTATGACCAAACCGTTCGGGTGCTATCGCTGGACCCGGGGCAGGGCCTCAAGAACTTGTCCATGCAGGTAAGGAGGCGGGAGTTGGGGGCGGGACAGGGCGGGGTTTACCAGGGTGTCATTACCTTCAAGCGCTGGGGAGGACCGCCAGCCCGCCATTTCCGTACCACCTGGCGTCGGCTTTCCCCTGGCCGTTGGGGACGCCGTCAGGAAAACCATCTGTCCAATCCGAACAGCGTGTTGTTCCAAAACGTTTACGCTGTCTTCTAACACTATCACTGCTCTAAGCATCTGGATTTCAAGGTAAGTATTAGACACCTGTCGCTGTAGGGGCGAACGAGTTAAATTGCAGGCGGTTAGGTCTGAGGCCGTTTCCGGAACTGTATTAAAGGGTTTTGAGGAGGGCTATCGACCAGGCCTTGGCTGGGGCGCTAGGTCCGCTCTCCTGCTTTGCAGGATTGGAGGGGATTCGCTAACGTATAGGATTTATAGATCCTGCTGGTGGTGGTCTAGGTTCTGTAGCAAAATGGTATAAATCGGCAACTGTGGGCACGAATCATCAGCAATTATCCCTTAGCTACTAACCCGCCTGCATTAGGCTCGCGCTTGTCCTTTTCACTTGTTTCATGTACGCACCAGGAATGTAGGCGCCCACGGATGCAGCAGCTGCCATCGGACGCACGACCTAAATCCAGCTTCCGCGTTATGCTACAATCTTGTGAACTTTTCCCTCCCTGTTAACCCCAGGCTCTCAACTCGGTGCCTGAAAGTATTCTGATGCTGTACAACACGGGCCCCGGTACCGAGCGCGCCACCGAGGGCGGTCTGTTCCTGCACGTGGGTCTGCAGAACGGAATTCTCATCCGCTCCGAGGTCGACCGCATAAGCGGCCAGCTCACAGACAGCCGTACCCGTTTCTTGGGCACCAAGCCGCCCAAGCTGTTTGCCGCGGCGGTCCGCGGCAACCGCTGCATGCTCGCGCTTTCCAGCCGGCCCTGGCTAGGGTACAATGACCAGGGAAGGTTTAACCTGTCACCGCTATCGTACGAGGCGCTCGACTACGCATCAGGTGGGTTTGTGGACGATTGCGAAGCAGAGACGCTGGTGGGCTTTCCACAGTCAAAACGCCTGAGTTTGGGTTTGCGCTCGGAAATGCCGTGGCCACTAAACATGGTTAATGTGCGATACTGCGACCGGTGCGTTGCAATGCTGCAGGCTTCGCATCGGATCAGTGTCCGGAGGGTTTCGTGGCGGTAGTGAAGAGTACGCTGCGTATTCTGGCGGTGGAGAACGTGGGCGACGCCTTTAACACACAGGTGGGCCGGGGAGCGCGCTGGAACGGGCGTTGTGCACGCCATCGGGGGCCAGGCACAAACGGCAGCAATTCAAGGGATGCCAAGGGGCTAAAGCTGGTTTGCGGATAACGAGGGGCTCCCCACCTGTCGTTCCATACCTTCTTTTCACACGAGGTGTATGTATGTACCGAGTAGAGAAAAGAGAACTCGGGTTGGCGGCGCACCTTTTCCACAGCTGGACAAGGCCGCAGGAAAAAGCAAGGAACGCCTAAAGGAGAAGGAAACAGCATTATTTGAGGCGAAGGACATCATCCTCTTATGGCCGTATATAATCGCTATTGCTGTTAAGTTTTTTCAAGGGTAGGCTTCGTTGCAGTGCATCTGCGCATCGCTCGCCGCTGCCAACCAGTGTCACCCTCCATTCTCACCTGTGTGTGAAGCTTGGTATGTGACGCAAGTCCCCCGTCGCCCGCCGCTGCGGCTTCAGAGATTCTTCTACCTCACCCTGAGCCACCCTAATCTATTTCCGCTTTGCGACTCCGGGCGCATTGCTCTGCTCCCACAGGCTTGCCGACTGCGTTATACTCCCCGCCGGCTGCTGATCCACCCGGAGACCAAGCTGCTGATGATTGCGGAGTCGGACAACGCTGCCATCCCGCTGGCAGAGAGGGAGGACTTGCAGGCCAAGCTGGCGGCACTGGCGGAAGAGGAGGGGGCGCCCGTGCAGGTGTGATAGGCGGACGGCGGTGCAGCACGGCGCCTGCTACATGGGGACAGAGGGAGGGCACCGAAATTTTCACGCTGCCGATGGCTGTACCTTGAAATTGATGGATGTGGTCATTGCTTAAAGCTTGGAGTTCGATTGATTGCAAGTATAATGGAAGCTGATGTTATACAGTATCGCACAAGCCCACAGCCTTGTCCGTCGATCCCTTTTCCTTTTTCACCCATCCACAGGGTGTGGAGTTCAACGACGAGCTAGCCGCCCTGGAAGAGCAGTTTGGTGCCCCCAAGGGCCAGCCAGGCCAGTGGGCGGGCTGCCTGCGCCTGGTGGACCCCGCCACTCTGTCCACGGTTTTTGTGACGGAGGTTGACAACAACGAAGCGATCGTGTCCATGGCGCTGGTGGATTTGGTATTGCCCGCAGGGCCAGGTTTTGGCGGCACGGAAAAGCTGCTGGTGGTGGGGTGCGCCAAGGGCCTTAGGTACATGCCCACGGACTGCGAGGGTGAGCAGGCTGTAAAAGAGGGGAGGAGCTCAGGCAGGAGGGAAGAGCATCCGTATGTTGGCACGAGCAAATGGCGAGGAATAGAGGCATGGGGTCGTGTTTGATTTATCCTGCTGAGGACAGGGTAAGAGAGCAGTTGGAAGGAGGCGGCTAAAGGCTCTACGGTGGGACTGATTACGCGTCGTCTTAAAGCTGCCTGAAGTGTCAAAACATCCTTTTTCATCCTTTACGCTGAGACTCAAGTACCACCCATGTTAAATCCGCTGCACCACTGTATGTTGCTTTACGTCATTATTGTGCTTGTCATTCGTGTTGCTTCCTGTGCAGCTGCTTACATCCGGGTCTACCGACTGGCTGACGGCGGCAAGCGGCTGGAGCTGGTGCACAAAACTATCGTGGACGGTGGCGTGCCAGGAGCCTTGTGCGGCTTCAAAGGGAGACTCCTGGCGGGCGTGGGGCCAACGCTGCGGCTGTATGACATGGGCAAGAAGAAGTTGCTGCGAAAATGCGAGTACAACAGGTAAGCAGGACACGAAGGTAAAGGCGGGGTAGTGAGTTTTGGGGGCCCCGGGTGCACGCGAGGACGGTGCCGCCTACGCGACGAAAAACCTCGATGATGCAGCGGACCCTGTCCGTTAGAAATAACCTGTGTGGCGGGTAAGGGTTAATTGGGGCAATAAGCACTACAGTTTTACAGATGTATGATATTTAGGCATGTCAAACAATTATTGGTATACCTCTACGCGCTGTAGCGCAACAGGCTTTGGGCTCACCTCTGCGGCATGACAAAGTGATTATATGCCACGGTTCAGCAACGCTGGGTGAGCAGCACGAACTACTAGTACGGGTGCCTGCCAGTTAGTGCCCGTCGTCCGTGTTCTGGGCATTGGCCTTCCCGCTTCCACTACTACCACGCTTCCAGACCTGCCAGACCTGCTGCACAGGGGGGACACACACGGTAGGCCATGTGAGGCATGACCGGCAACGGCGTCTCCAGTCTGCGGCAAACCCCATTCCGCATCCCGACGTTTGCCTGATTTCCAACATTGCGGCCGCTACTGCTGGCCCCTGCAGGCTCCCACATCAGATAATGAACATCACGGTGCAAGGTCCGCGCATCTACGTGGGCGATGCTCAGGAGTCGGTGCACATGATGCGCTACAAGAAAGCCGATAATGCATTTTACATTTTTGCGGACGACATTGCGCCGCGATACCTGACGACCATTCTGCCATTGGATTACGACACACTTGCGGCGGGGGACAAGTTTGGGAACTTCGTGGTGCTGCGGTTGCCGAGGGAGGCATCGCAACAGGTGAGGCCGGCACTGCGAGCGGGTCGGGGATTGGACGGGTAACACGGCGTTTGCATTCGAATTGGGGTAGACGCCACTGGGAGTTGGCGTACAACGTCGCGAGTATTATGTTCCGCCCCCAGTCGCTTAGGACATTGTGGTCTGCGTTCACGCCTTTCCACGTCATCGTGACACTGCCGCACATGGGGTCAGCGGCCCAAATGAGTTATCCTCGACTACTTCACCAAATGCAGGTTGAGGACGACCCCACGGGCGGCAAGATGGCGGCCGCCAGCGGGCGGCTCAACGGCGCACCCCACAAGTTGGAGGAGGTGGTCAAGTTCCATGTGGGGGATACCATCACGTCGCTGCAGCGTGCGGAGATGCAGGCGGGTGGGCAGGAGGTGCTGCTGTATAGCACTGTGATGGGCGCCATCGGGGTTCTCTACCCCTTCACCAACCGTGAGGATGTTGACTTCTTCGGCCACCTGGAGATGCATCTGCGTCAGGAGCACCCACCATTGTGCGGAAGGGACCACCTGTCCTTCCGCTCCGCGTACTTCCCTGTGCGGAGCTGCGTGGACGGGGACCTTTGTGGCCAGTACGCATCGGTGAGGATGTTGGGCCTGCGCGGGAAGACTGATTGGGTTTCTGATAGCAGCAATTGAAAAGGCTGAGCACTACACGAAGCCGTGGATCTCGTCCGCTCGTTGTTGAAGGCTAGTCCTGCTGATTGATGTCAAATCTAAACAGCCTCTTAAATGTTTATTTGTTGGAAGCAGTAATATGCCCGCTGCACACGCTTCCGTATTCTTGTGCCCCGGCAGATTCCTGCCAAGAAACAGCAGATGATTGCGGAGGCCATGGACCGAACTCCGGGAGAGATGCTCAAGAAGCTCGAGGACATCCGCAACAAGATCTTGTAGATGAGCGATTTGTATGATAGGCTATGGGGTGTCTGTAAACGCGCTTCAGTAATTTTGCCGTTGATCCTGTAAGTTACGTGGCGATCTGCAGTCGTCTGTGGTGGGAACGGTATGTTTTTTGGGACTGGGGGTGGGCAACTCTTGTGCACAGCCTTTTCTGGGGACACTTTCCTGACGGGACTTTATCCATGCACGTGATGTAGCTGTTTGTACCTTACTGTACCGAGCGAGATAGTGTTTTCATAACAGATGTGGTACTGACCAAAGGGACCAACTGGACTGATGAATACTATGTTGCTGGTAAGAGCCTTAACCTGTTGTAGGTGGTGTCGTTCGATGCATATGGCGGGCAAATGAGGGGGACTGTGGACAGAGCACCGACGATGCGAAAACCCTAAGTGCTTGGAAAGGGCGCCTCTGGCGTGGTACAGCGGCTGAGTGACGGAAAGCAGGGTCCATGGTGCATGCCACTTGACAGGCACGTAAAGGAGAGGCATGGTACGGTAACTGCGATGTGACTGTTTGTGTCGTTGCATCTGAGCAGATGTGGCGTACCGAGGGCAGTGCCACGCAGGCGGTCAGGCTGGCAGGCCAACTTTGTGACTGAGTTTACAGGGCCGGAGGTGCAATTGCGCGTTGTGTTTTCGCTGCACAGTGGTTTCCGGCTTTGGTGTGACCCTCAGGTCTGTCGCTTGACCATTGCGGTCCGTGACAGGTATGGCGTGAGGATGGCATGTATCCATAACGCTAATTAGCTGCATCTTACTGTTACTGCTGTTATGGTTGTTATCCCTGTAATACTACTTGCCAGTACAGCGGGTTAATTTCCCAAGTCAAGGGGCGGGGGCCCCCATAACCTACAGCACCGTACACATCTTGTAGTTATTCAGATCGCTGCGGAAACGCCAATTCAACTCCTTTTCGAAGTGCGATGAAAAAAAGTAACTAATGCATTTTGCCGTCTACAAAATTTCATTAATCTTCTTTGTAGACACAACGGCCTTTCTCGCTTATTGCATGCACTTTTTTTCTTTATAACGCCTTAACGGGGTTACTTTGGAATGGGGTTACCTTTACGTCACGCCCGTCACTGGCATCAGTATGGTCCTCTTTCCTGTTCTCTGCCGTGGCTAGCTGGCTATGTCCATGCCCCACCAACTGCAGCCTACCCCTGGCAAGCAGGGGGTTCCCCGCCTTTGGGCCTCTGGTGACCGTGCCGCTTTAGCTGCCCATCAACACGACAACATCACCTCCGACCTGAGACCAGTGGCCCCACACACAATGCTCTCCGGCAACACTTTCAGACCGAGGCGCCCGTCCTTAGGACGCAATCAAAAGCGGTTACCATAACTTGGTGCCTGAGAGGGGAATGGAACTTTCCCTGCTAACCGCCCGCTCTTCGACGGGTGCTACGATCAGCTGTCCTACATGTTGAACCTGTTGCGGCAGTAACAGGGCCCCCGCCCGTGCCGTACGATCAAAAGTCATAAATGCTCCATAAGGCTCCAAGCAGAAACGTGAAAATCATGGGGGCATTCTCCGGACGAGACCACCACCAACCTCCCGCGCCCAGATCATGCGCGGTCCGCGCAGGCAGGCAGAGAATTAATTCGAATGAAGGCAGGCGGCGCCGTGATAACTTGCTAAACTCACTAACGGAAAGCCACTACTTATGTCCCCAGGGAGCAGCGGTTTTGCCGCTGTTGTGGTACCAATAGCCAAGTCGAGAATGTGTTATTGGATTGGCCAAACTGTAATGATATTCGTGCGGAAGAGGGATTCGATCGTCAACAGAGCATCGCCATGAAATGGGAGCCGGTACGTCTGGCGAGGATGTTGGAACGTATGTGGACTCACCACAACTCAGTTATCCCCTTTGGGCGCTAGTTTGTGCTGATACTGTTTCCTTTTCTCCGTGGCAGGTATTGCCCTTGGGCCTTCGGAACGTAAAGGTGGTTGGGTATCACCCCCCAACCATTTAACACACACTTTTATGTCACTGCGTCTGCGTAATTGACCCAATCCCTTCATGTAATGGTGTTTCGCTAAACGGACGCAGTACGGAAGTAATTACAGTGCACGGCGTTCAGAAGCTCCCTCGGGCAAGCACGTGCAATCTATTGAAGGAAATTTGCGGGTGTGCTGACGGTGCAAGGGTCCATGCTGCTGAATTTCCTTCTTTTCGGGCTGCAAATATTATAATTGCACCTAAACCTTGCACGGTAAGCTCACCCGCGCAAAGGCGATGTAGTATTTGTAGTCCTGTAGCTGTTACCTAGGCAGCCACCTATTCTAAACCTTTCACGACAGAAACGGCCCCCGATTAATTTGCACACAGAATCGCACTGCTAGAAGCTGCTGCCCTTGCAAACTAAAGGGCTCAATGCGCAGCTGCACACGAACACTCGTCCCTGCTCACTGATCTAGTTGTCGCTTCACGACACGGATAGGAACTACGAGATGTGCATGCACATCGTGATGAGCTATATACATGCGTCCACAAGGCCAATGCGTCAAACGGGATGCAATTCATTCCTTCGGTCCTCATCCAGTTCGTCATTGAAGTTCACGCCTGCTTTGTTAATGGACGTTCGCCGCCGCCGCCTCGGCCATGCGATCCCGGACTTCCTGGCTTTCAAGCGCGTCAACCGCTACCTTATCGAGATCGTCGAAGTATGGGTGGTTGAGCGCCTCCTTGGCCTGTGCATGCATATCGAAAGCTGGTGACAATCAAGGCTAGTCGCGCATAACTTCGTGTACACGTTCGTAAGCACTCACCGAGATCCGTAGCGCAGGGTCGTAGGCAAACATGCGCTTCAGCAGATCGATGCCCGCCTCCTCAAGAGTGGGGAAGATGCGGCGCAGGTCTTGCGGCTGCCACTGCGGCCACTCGTGCCTACAAGAAATAACCCCAAACTGCTCAGTGGCTTCGCAGCGATATGGAGGCGAAATGAGGCACTGTGTCAGGAAAGCCTGACATACCAGTCGCGTAGCTTGGTAACGCCTGGCCAGGTATCCTCGTTCGGCGTGCCCAGGAGCTTGAAGATGTGTAGAAGCTGCTGATACTCACTGTCACCCGGGAACAATGGGGCCTGCGTGCAACAAGACCCCTCGGCGAAAGCACGACAGGAAGAGATTCCCTAAGAACGACTGGTTGCAATGGTGAGAGCAACCAGATGCTACGGCAGTTGCAAACCATAGCTGTGGCAGAGTGCCAAGGGCCCACCTTGCGCACGAGCTCAGCAAAAATGCAGCCTACAGACCACATATCGACGGGTGTTGCGTAATGGGTTGCGCCCAGGAGCACCTCTGGCGCGCGGTACCAGAGCGTGACGATCTGCAGTAACCATGGTATTGAACGACTGTAAGCGGCTTGGCGGCCGGAGCCCTACAGGATTGTCTAGTGCATACCTCGTGTGTATAGCTCTTTAGAGGGACGCTGAAGTGGCGGCCCAAGCCCAGGTCAGCGACTTTCAAGCACATCTTCTCATCGTCGACGAGCAGGTTCTGCGGCTTGAGATCACGGTGCAATACGCCGTGCATGTGACAGTACGCGACGCCCTTGATGAGCTGGTAAACCATACTCTGTGCAAACAGGTGTCACGGGATAGAGCTCCGCGTTAGAACCTGAATGAAACCTGATGTGTTTCCTGTACGAGGGCAGCGCGAGCTGGCCATACCTTAATGTGCATGGTGGGCAGGGGATGCGCGGGTCCTTTGCCGTTCCTGTCCATCCACTTCTTCATGTCGGTGTTGAGGTACTCGAAGACCTGTCGCCCAAGCACGGAGCGAGCGAGCGAGCGAGTTGCCACACCACCCTTATGTCATTCTTCGAGCTAGTAATTTCCTCACCAAGTACAGGCAGGGCTTGTTGTTTTCCTCGGTATGCTCGACGCATAGCAACCTGCACGCAGTGCTCTAGGTCAAGGCCTCCTGCAACCACAAAGGCCTTTGACTTTTTACTGCATAAAGCTCTTACTTGACGATATGGTTGCTGTCTGAGAGCATTTGCAGCAGAGAAATCTCGCGGAGGGTTGTTGACGGCACACCTTCTTCCTCCATCTGGAATGGAAAAGGTAAACGATGGCCTGGGCTTGCAAGTTATTGCAGATGCTGGACGGAATGCTGCACTCTAGATTATCGGAGGGCACTTAGCGCAGGCCCTGCGCACCTCTAATCGGCATTTTTTCAAGGCAACCAGCTTCCCAGTGTTGATGTCCCGCGCTTTATAAACCTTCCCATAGGTACCCTCGCCAATCTTCTCAATTTTCTCGTAAGCATCCATCCTTTTGAAAGCTCGGCAAGCTACCGCAGAGGGGGTGAGGCTTACGCTATTGCGTATTGATGTGAGTTTGTAAAGATGAGCCTACGGTGCATATGCGATATAGGAAGGCAAAGGCGGAAGTCCGATTATTTTGAAGGAGAATGCAAAGCGCCTTTGTACGGACAGCTTGGATTTGGATTTGGGGTCCTCATTGTGTATGAGCGTTGCATGGCGTGCATGATGTCTTCGTTCTATCCCTACTCTGCCATGCTTGAGCCGTGGGGTAGCGCGAACGGATTGGCAAAGATGCGCACGGAAATTGTCGGCTCTGCATGTTATCTTCCCTCTTTGTAATACAACAGATAAAATAATATATATAGAGCGTAAATGAAAAATCTTGTCATAGAACGCGACCACTGTGTCCAGCTCGGTTTAGGCGAGGATGGCGCACCTGTTGGCTTTTGCATCAATGCAACGGACTCAACCATATATGTGATTACCCAATTCGGCTTTGTGCACAGCTTTCGTGCTGGCGAAAACCCTACCGTGGGTATTGGCCGGGACGGCGGCGGGCACCCCTTCCTAGTACCTCATCCCATCACGTGTAGCATCCTCAGGGGCTCCATAGGAGTAGCCCATTATCGCATTGGTGGTGTGCAAAGTAGTCGACACCCTTCACGCGGGGAAAAAGTTCAACCCTTAGAACGCCGCCGAAGACAGCACCCCTGGGGGCATTCAAGCGGCAATGCCCTACCGCGGGGCCTTCCCTTCCTCATGAGCTCTTGGCAGCTTCTCTCCATAATACGTAGCGTTTCCCCGCAAATGCCAGCACCACTGCACCAAAGCGCTAACCAGCCTGAGGAAAATTGCCAACTACCCGCAACAAGAGCTCCTTCAGAGCGCTCCTTCAACCCCTCAATTTGATGTCTTAAATCAGGCTCTCTGGCGTTACCCCCTGGAATGGGAGCTGCTGTCCAAGGAGGATGTCGCGGACGTGCTCGATGGGCAAAGCACCGGTGGACTAGGGCCCAGGGCACACACGTGGCTGGCTTCCTTCACCTACGTCCTTGAACTGGACGCGCTCTGCATCGCCACACGTGGCGGTGCCATTGCGCTGCTGCACGTGGGGGATGGCTCCACGAGGTACCTAGAGCAGGTGCGTGGGTAGGGCGGCGACATGTTGCGGCTCGGTCGGGTTGTGGCTTTTAATGCTTCAGGCGTGCCACACCACCAGTCGGACCTGAGGACAGGGGAGAGGAAGTCCGGACACAGTAACAGGGGCAAAACACACTACTGGTTCCCAGGACCGGTCCGGCAGCCGGTGCAGGAGATGTACACGTCTGGGCCCTATTGCCAAGGGAAGGGGCCTACCGACACGAAAAGGTCGCATGGAAAAGCGGCACCGTCCTGTCATGTGGGTTGTCCAGGCGAGGTTGTTCTACAGCCGCGAGAAGTGGATTGCTGTGTCGTGCGTCCCTGTATAGTGTGCCCCTGCATTGTAATATCAGGGCCGAGACCAGTTGTCGGTTGCTGGACGGGCATACGCCAGTTGGCCTCTCTCTGCCACCGCATCAAGTAAAAACACCGACCTGCATTATGGAGGGGAAACGGGTGCGCCAAAGTTGGCCTCCACTGGTCCCTTACCAGGTCGGCGACATCGACGGCGGTGTGGCATGTCTGGAGTGGAGCCCTGATGGGGAGCTGCTCGCCATCCTCAGTGGTACGGGCAACCTGCTGGTCATGAACCAGGTGCGACACCCCCAGTCTCCACAACCCGCATGTGCCCGTATGTGCAATACGATCAGGGGGCACTCCGGCGCTGGGGCCGGGGCTGAGCCGTCGAGACAGAGAGACAGCACCGCTCGAGCCAACGCTGTGCGACCGCTCCGATGCCGTGTGACCGCCAATACTGTGTGACCGTTCCCACCACTACCCGCGTCTGGGGCACCCTGTGCTGGGCAGGCTTGGGAGCTGCTGTCCGAGGGACCAGCGCTGGGGCCGTCCGCAGCGGAGGCAACCGCAGCCGCGTACGGCGAGAACAGCAGCCTCTTCCAGGACGCCCTGCTCAGCTGGCGCGGCGACGGCAAGTTCTTTGCGGTCGTGTGCCGCGACCCGACGGTGGCAGTGGTGCCAGGATCGGTGGCCTTGCCGCCGTACCGAATACGGATCTGGGATCGCGGTACACTGGAGCTGCATGCGGCTGGCGAGCCTGCAGATGGCATTATACCCCTACCTGCTTGGCAGCCCAACGGCCGGCACCTGTACGTCCCCGCGCTGGCGACAGGGGCCATGCCCTCGGGGACAAGTGGCGCCAGTGACGGAGGTGCAGTGCCATCGATTCTGCTGTACGAGCGCAACGGCTTGCGTCACGGCGGCTTCAACCTGCCAAGCAAGGGTAAGACCGCGCAGACTGCCTCGCTTCACGCGGGGGCTCCAGCTCCCATGCAGCCATGGTCCCGTGGGCGGTTACTACTGCAGTTACCACCGGGCTCACGACTTTGTCAAGGACTGCCAAGAAGGGGCTGGAGTGCTAATGGTGTTGCTAACGGGCAAGATAGCTCAGGGATAGCACTGGGCCGCAAGATAGCACCTCCGATTCCGCCTGGATGCCATTGCCGCCGTCTGCCCGCTCGGTGATGCGCACTGGCAACCGGTTGAGGCGCCGCAGGGTGCTGTATTGTAGAGGGTATTGTAAAGTCTTCACGGTTGTTAGGCAGGGCTGCATGGCCAGGCACATCGTCAGGGACCCAGTCCGTAGAAGCCTTGGAAGCCGCACAGGGGCACACAACCGCCGCAGCAGCTTGGAGCGCCACCCTTTACCTTTACCGTGTTCGCTACCTCAGCAGTGACGTGTCGTGCAGTCACAGATGGCCTGGGCCTCCCCTCCCCTCCGCTTCCCGCGGACCCATTAATGATCCTCACGTGCTCGCAATTTTAGTCATGCATCGCGCACATTTACAATCTCTTACCTTGATGTGCATGAACTCCTTCATACCTGGTGGACACCGCCCTCTCTTTCAAATACATACATACATACATATATACATACATACATACATATATACATACATACATATATACATACATACATAGACACATGCACATATACACACTTGTTGCTGCTACCGCCACTACAACCACGCGCCGTCACCACTTTCCACAGCTCCTGTGCGGCGCCTGGCTTGGAGCTGCGACTCGGAGCTGCTGGCGGTTGTCACGGCACCGGACCCTGAGGGACCCAACGAGTGGTCGGTGCAGGTAATGCAGAGCTGTGTGTGTCACCATATGGGTGGAACGGCGGGTCGGGTGGGGGCCGGGCCGGGAATGGGGCGCTGCCTGGGCCACTGCCGTGGCCGCCATCGGCTGGCTGTGTGGTCCTGCCCTAGGACCCCCACTTCCCAGCACCTACGGCCACTCACCCCGTCCCGTCCCGTCCCTCCTGGAGCCAATCAGGCAATGCTCGGACGCGCTGTGGGATACCACTGTGCGAGCTGCTGAACCCGCACCAGCATCATCAGCAACAATAGCAGCGCACTGCAATAATTCCGCATCTTGTTGGATGTTTGTGACAGTGGGCCTTACGGACCACCTTCATGGTCGGCCTGTTGGTTCTGCCAATGAACCAATCGCGTTCCTCTGCCGCACCTCCGTAGGCCCGGCTGATGGCGCTCGAACTGAGTCTAGTTCCGAAATGCGTCTTCTCGCTCCACGGCATCCAACCCGGGGAGTAAGCCCCCGCGCAAGATATCTCATTGACTTACCCGCCTGCCGCCCACCTCCCCCCTTCCACATCGCTGTCGCTGTCTGGCGCACCGCAGTTGTGGCACCGCAGCAACTGGCACTGGTACCTGAAGCACGAGCGGAGGTACGTCCACAGCGTGGGGGGTGGCGCCGCGGCGGACCTGGGCCCTCAGCTCCGCTGGGACGAGCAACACGGCGGTGTGCTGCATGTGCTGACACCCGGCGGCGTGTACGAGACCGTGGGCGTGGCGTGGGACACGTGCGTTTCGGAGCGGGGCACGGCAGTGGTAGTGGACGGGCGGGGCCTGCTGCTGACGCCGCTGCGGCACGGCCTGGTGCCTCCGCCCATGTGCGCGGCAAGGGTGGACCTTCCGGAGGTATGAGGGGGGGATACTGCTGCAAACCGGGGAATTGGAGACGGGTGGGACGGGGGTTAGGTGGGAACGGGGTTAGGGATGCATAGGGGCACGGGCGGTAAGTGGCACGAAGGGGGGCGAACGTGGGGCTTGCTGCTCAGGTGGGTTCAGACCCACCCAGAGCTACATATCGGGTGTCAGGTCAGTGGCTTTTGCCTCGCGGTGTCGTTGAGGAACCGGTTTCGGGATGCAGGGGCCACAGCGTGTATCGTGTTATCGTGCAGGTGGGCACCGGAACCATTGGGCGCTGTTGCTGCGAGGCTGTAAGGGCGCAGTCCAGTCCCGCTTTGGTGTCTTTGCTTCGCGCTGTGTACGCAAACGGACCCTGTGGAGAGATGCCTCCGGCTCCATCTTCTCCAGATGCACACGTACACCAACTCGTACCTCTCGTGACTGTCCAACCACCAACACAGTATAAACTATTTCTTATGATATCCCCCTGATGGTAGCTTTCCCCCTGCGCCGGCGCGTCCTGTTGGTTTTACAACCTCCTTGCGAGCCAGGCGGCTGTGGATGTGGCCATTGCGGCGCTGCCTGCTCCCCGGGCCCCGTCAGCCTCCACCGCGTCCTCCTCGTCCTGTTGGGAGGATCACGACGAGGTGGTGGCCGCCCTGACATCCAGTGGCCGCCTGCTGCTGGCCAGGAGCGTGGAGGAGGACCTGTGGCAGGAGACGCTCGAGGTGGGCCGGGCTGGACCGGGCGGGGGTGGGGAGATCGGCGGCGGGGTGCCGGGTGCGGCAGCCGGCGGTCGTGCATAGTAGCGAGGTGCACGAGGGAGCGCAAAGATAGGCACACGCAAGCTCACACACACACACACACACACACGCATGCAAGCACACACACACGGTGCATCCATTTCATCCCAGTGTGGTGTAAGTGCCCAGCGCTCCTGCCCGTTACGTGCTTCGTGCATTGGTCGCTAACGTCCGCCATGGCCGCAAGGCTCTGTCGTCCCCGTTTCCCTCCACCACACACACACACACACACACACATGCACGTGCACGTGCACACACCTGGGCCCCCCCACCACTGTGGATTCACTGCAGGATCAGGAGGCGTTGCTGGCTGAGGGGTATAAGGGAAGCCCAGGAGTGGGAGGGGGAGGGAGAAGCGGTGGCGCCCCCGCAGCACTGCTGCCTGCGGCGCCAGTCCTCGACGTACCTCTCGCCGGTGGCCGCCGTGCACGTGCCGTTTGCTGGATGTACGGTAGCTCGTCCCTGCTCGTCCTGGCATCGCCGTACCCGGAGCCCGGTCTGGAGGACGGCGCGGGTGACGTGCTGGTGCAGGTAGACGTGGAGTGGGTGTCGTCCGGCCCAGCTGACCCAACTGACCCGCGGGTCAGTCCGGAGGTCCGGTTGACGGAGCACGTGCCCGTATACGCCGGCGCCCGGGTGCTGCGCTTGGCGCCACACACAGCCGGCGGCGTAGCGGTGCAGCTGGCGCGGGGCGCAGTGGCGCGATTCACGAGGGGTGCCGCCGCGCTCGTGTCCTGCGGGCCGGCAGCGGCGTTCAAGATGCCCTGCCCCATCGTGCGCTCCACACCTGCACTCCTGAGGAGCGCAGGATCCAGCGCCGAGGTAAGCATCCTAGGGGCGCACGGCGATGGGCAGTCAGCTGCCGCCGCGTGGAGAGTGCCTCTGACCCCGCGGGCCTGCCCTGGCAGTTGGCACTCTTGTGACACCATCGGCAGCTGCCGCTGCCGCGGCCGCTTTTCGCCTCTGTACCTCTCTCAAGAGGTCCCCTCCTGCCCGTGGCGACCAGTAGCGCCAGGGAAGCGCAGGTCAAGGGGCTACAGCACATGTCACCTCTCCGGCACATCAGTACCGTTGCTTCGGTCGCTGGGGCGGCTCCGGTCCAGTCGATATCCTCCTTCAATGGGGGCGTCGGAAGTATCCGCCTATGTAGCCCACGACACTCGACAGCCTTGTACATTCGACAGCGTTGCTCCCTTTCGCGCAAAGGCAACATCCCCAAGCGGTCTGGACCCATCGCATTGATCTGCGTTTGTCCTTCAAGTCTCCCCCGCGCAAACCCTTTTATCATTCCCGTCGATTTAATCAACCAACCAATCCATCTCTCTTCACGTTGGCGTGTGCACAAACGACTGCATTTGCAGCTGAACGCGCGCTGACTGCCCCTGGCCCCTCCCGACTCCCGCCTTTTCACCCCCAAGTCCTGTTCAGCACCTGGCCCCGCAGCGCGCTCAGCCACCTGGCCTATCCCCTCCCCTTCCCTCTTCTTCCCCCTCAGGAGCAGCTGCTACCCCCGCTGGTGGGTCTCAGCCGCACCGGGATGCTGTGCTGGGGCAGCGCCGTCATCGCAACGGCAGACGTCACATCCGTCGCTGTAAGGGCTCGTGGGCCCGGCGGCCCCGCGCTGCTGTACACGACGCGCAAGAACCTGATGTACACTGTGCTGATGAGTCAGCTGGCGTCGTACACGCACCGGGAACTCACCGCCGACCCCCACGGCTTCCGCTCCCATAGGTAAATTCGTGTCTATCTGTCTGTCTGTCTGCCTGTCTGTCTGTCTGTCTGTCTGTCTGCTGGCAGCACCAGGGTCAAGCCTCTGGCAGTCCGCAGCTCTCATGCGGCAACGTGCGGGTGGTGGTAGTAGTGGTGGTGGTGGTGGTGGTGGTAGTGGTGGTGGTGGTAGTGGGTGCGCATCCATCATCCGTTTATCGGTTATCGCACCACCTGAACGGAGTATCAACGGTTCGCCCGTCCTAACCTGGTCCGACCCGTCTGCTGGGCCCCACCCCGCGCACGGTACCACAGGCGCGAGGGTGAGATGCGGGCGGCCATGCACGCGGCCATGTTCCCGGATGCCGCCACCGCCGCCTCCAGGGATGTGGCTGTGAGAGCTGTGGAGGCGGGCGCCATGCTGGTCGCCTGCCCCTCCACCACTACGGATCCAGAACCAGGGTCAGGATCCGGGCCGGCGGCCTCCACACGGCCTGCAGACGTGGTGCCCTTGCCGGTTGTGGTGCTGCAGATGCCGCGGGGCAACCTGGAGGGGGTGTCCCCCAGGGCCCTGGTGCTGGCGGCCCTGGTTGGGGCTCTGAGGCGGAGGGACTTCGCGGAGGCGTGGAGGCTGGCCAGCGTGCAGCGAGTGGACCTCAACCTGCTGGTGCGGGTGCGGGATGGGGGATGTGGAGGGAATCATGTGCAAATAGATGCGAGGGTGGGGACTAGTGAGGGGGCTGGGGCTAGAATGCCGGCGTGAAAGTGAAAGGCGAAGGGGAGGTAAGAGGAGTGGGTTCCTCTTCACATCATGACTGCCCCGATGTGAACGGGGCTGGGGGCCGGCTAGGCGTCGTTGAACATCCTTTCCATTCGCCCTAATTGCAGCCAAGCTATTTGTGCTTAAATCTTGGACCTGTAGACACGGCCTCTGACTTATGCAGCGGACGCCATCGCTTTTCTCACTCTCCCGGCCCCACTGGCTCTGGCCCCAACCCCCTCCTGGCCCCGCTCCTCCTCCTTCCCCTTCATACCCGGGGGCCTCTCGCAGGTGGACTACGGGTGGCCCTCCTTCCTGACCGCTGCCGGGGCCTTTGTGGCCGCAGTGGCTCGCCCCGCGGACCTGTGCGACCTGCTGTTTGCGCTGCGGGCCGGCAGTGCGCTGGCGGAGGGGGGCGCGTATGCGGGGGCGCTGGCATGGCTGGGGGAGGAAGTCTCCAAGAACCCCGCAGGGGCGGCGCAAGAGCGGCAACAACAACAACATCGGCAGCAGCCGCAGCGACGCGGTGCCGTGGCCAAGGGCGGTGAGGAGCCCAGTGCCAGCGGCCGCGCTGAGGAGGGCAGCGGTGGCAAGGTTACGGCTGTGTGTAGGGCTGTTCGCGACGCGGTGCTGGGACTGCCGGATGCGCACAAGTACCTCGAGGTGGTGGTTACGTCGTATGCCAGGTGGGTTGGGTAGTGTGGGGCGGGTGGGGCGGGTGTGGAGAGGAGTCCGTGAGGGCAAGGGCGGTGGGGCGGGTGGGCGGCGCAGTGAAGCGGGCTGTCTTTGGGCGGCCTCAGCAGGCAGGTGGTGGCTCTGGGTTCCTTATGGGTTCCTAACAGCTTCCGAGGCTGAGGAGGAAGGTTGTCGCGCTTCACGTTGTCCGGGCTCTGTCTCGGGACTTACTGGTTGGGCGTGGGACAGCGCGCCACTTGGGCCCCCCCCCCTCGCAAACTGATCGGCTGACTGAGGAACCTGATTGCATCCTTGCTTTACGGATGTTGTTCATGTGACCGGCGCTTGGCCAGGTGTTGAGATTGGGAGTGGATGAGCCCCTACCTGCCAAATACGGTTTCCCGTCGCGCTAGTCCCCTCTCCATTGACTCGAGTTCGCGTGCTTTAACTCTACTCTGCATTCCCCTTGGCGGAAACGTCAATGTATCTCTTCACCCCTTCACCCCCCCAGGAGCGACCCGCCCCAGTTAGAGGACGCCATGCGTTGCATCCGGGACGCTAAGGAGCGGGAGTTACGACCGCCCGCGCCAGGGACTATCGTGTCAAATGGACATAACGTGACAGCGCCACCGCAGCCGCCGGGACACAGCGGGCCCGCAGATAAGGCCCTGAAGCACCTGCTGTTGTATGTTGATGCTGATGAGCTGTACAACACTGCGCTTCGGATGTACGACATGCCGCTGGCTTACATGGTCGTCGTAAATGCCCAGGTAGGTCGCCACTGCGGCGTGTTCCCCTCCCTGGAGGCCACTTGGCCTATCTGCTTGCTTTGGAAGGGATGCCGGGAAAGGATCGGGGGCGTGTGTGCCTTTGGGAATGATGAATGGGCGCAAGTGCTGCCTTGCGGCGCCTCGCGAGGTTGGGAGCTCCTGCACCTGCACCTGCACCTTGGGGCAGTGACGTTGCCGAACTGGATGGGGCTGTGTGATGACGTCCTTCCTCGCACTCCTTGCACCCTCCGACGGAACCATCACCGCACCGCACCGCACTCCGGGCGATTCCTACCGCAGCAGCGGCCTTCTAGCAACGTCCTTTTCCCTCCTGCTACGAGGAGCACCCCAACACCGCCCACTTCCTAGGATTTGGACTCCAGCGGCAGTTGGCGACTTGGGACGTCCGCAGTTTATGCTTCCTTGATCCTCCCCTCACCTTTCTCAACCTTCCTTCCCCGCCTGCCCTCATATCTCACCTCCTTTCGCTCACGTCCACACCCTCATTTTCCCTCCCTCCTGCCTCCCCCGGGTTTGCTGCCCTCAGAAAGACCCGGGCGAGTACCTGTCAGAGCTGCAGCGCTTCGGTGCGCTCAGCCCCCCGGCCCTGCAGCGCCACGCGGTGGACATGTCGCTGCGGCGGTACCCCTCCGCGCTGCGGCACCTGGTGGAGGCGGGGCCGCAGCACTTCGAACAGGTGAGGTCGTGGTTGAGGGGGGAGGGGCGGGGAGGGGAAACGAGCAGTGAGATGCGCTATGGCTAGGTGGGAGGAACGTGCAGGACAGGAGCGCAAAAGTCCAGCAGGAAGCGCCCCGGTATACCGGGAAAGATGAGGCCTGGCGAAGCAAGGCTGTGTCTATGCTCTCTTCCCGCTAACTGGCATGCATGGACTAGCCCGCGTATGCAGCCTACCTCGCGTGTAGGTTCCGCATTGCTCACAACCACCTTCATTTCTTCGCCGCAGGCGCTTCAACTCGCCCGCGAGCGGGGCTTGCTGCGCCAACTGCTTCAGCTGTATGAAAACGACACTGACCACAGGCCTGCCGTACTTGAGGCGTACGGCGAGCATCTTGAGGCATTGAAGCGTTACGAAGACGCGGCGGTGTCGTACCTGTCGGCAGGGAGGCTTGACAAGGCGCTCCGGGCATACCGCACAGCCGGTCGTTGGCGCATGGTGTTCGTGGTAGCGGGCCAGCTGGAGTACGACGAGGCTGCCGTGCAGTCTTTGGCGGCAGAGGTGGCGGAGGAACTTGTGGCTGGTGGTCAGGGTGCTGATGCCGCGGCCGTATTGCTGTCGTACCTGGGTGATGTGGACAACGCCGTGCGGACGTACACTCAGGCGAGGTGAGACCGCATGCGGTGGTATGGACAAGGGGGCCACTAGGGTGGCTGCTGACAATGCTGCTATGAGGGGGTTTAACAAGCACCACAGGACTCCAGAGAGCTCATGGGTTGGAAACTTGCGGCAGTCCAGTCATGAGGTTCTACTGACCGCCAGGACCGGCTTTATGCCTTCTGTTTTGTGAGGCGGCGGGCGCTGGAGAAAGGAAATACGGCACCTCCGAGTCGGCAAGCCACGTCTGCAGAAGCTACCGCACCGGTTGCAGAACCTTTCAGACACTTTTAATAGTGCCATCGTCTCGTCTGGCCGTCCCTTAGTGCCGCAAGTAATGCCTGACTGCTCGTCCCCACGCTGGTCTCGTCTATTCCTCTGCGGCTTCGTCTCCTAGGGAGTGGAGGGAGGCGATGCGGGTGTCGTACGCTCATGGCCGGTCGGACCTTGTGGAGACGGTGGTGATGCCGGCGGCGGCGGAGGGGGCGGCGGCGCTGCTCACAGACGCGCGTGAGTCGACGGAGCGCATCCGCAAGTACGCCCAGCGCCTGGCGGATGTTCGGGCGAGGCGGCTGGCGCTCACTGCGGCTGTCACGGCGGCAGGTGGGCTCAGTGGGTCACAGGGGCTGTGCCGCACACACACAGTCACCGTGGAGAAAGGCGACGGCGCTGTTCCTATCCTCCTTCGCTCCTGTGCTCGTGGCGGCGTGTCCGCCGGGAACGGGTGGGGCAAATGCACTTGCTTGCGAATGAGTGTTGGTTCACGGTAAGAGTTGCACCGTGCTTTGTGATGTGTGCGCGCCCGGGCGGTGCGTGGCGACCGCCCGCTGGTGGCAGCATTGGTTCAAGATTTGGAGGTGGGTAAACCGGAGGATTCCCCCTAACGGGTTTACACGGCTCCCAGCTGCCCCCTCAGGGCGCATGATAGTGGGAAAAGAACAGGGGTGGCCACCGGTTGGTGAAGGAGTTCTATCAGCGGACGATACCCGCCACAGCGAGAGGATGAGAGCTGAAGACGTGCTGCATCTGCATTCACCAGGTTGCAAAGCCGAACGGTGCACTCATTAAGGGGCCTGTTGCCGCTTGGTGCACACCGCCCTGACATACCTGTTACCGTGTACCTGTGGTACATTCATAACATCACAAGGTGATTCATGCGGCTTGCTGTCCTCTGGAGTATGAGGGACTTGTTAATTCCATCTGCCCTGCTGCAAACAAGGTAAGATTGTTTCCATGCATGTTTTTCCTCGACGGCAGACGAGGATGGTGCGGCGCACGGACTGCCGGATGATCTACAGTCCGATGTGGTCTCGCTGGTATCGGGACTGTCCATCTACACGGACGCGACGGGCAGACCCGGACTCACCACCTCCGGAACGAGTTCCGCCTCGTCCCGTGCGCCCTCCACTGTGGGAGGGCGTCAGGCACATAAACAGGAGAAGAAATTGAAAAAGTAAGCCGGTAATGTTGCTGGGAGCCTTCCCATATATGTGGTGTCCGGCAACGGTGGGTTTTTCGGTGTACACTCGCCCGCCGTAGTAAGTACGAAAGCATACGTCCAAATCTATGTACATGATGTCTTGCACGGCGACTGCCTGGCGGCACGAAGGCGAGTTCCACGGTTAGTGACGCTTCCAGTCTGCCCTCGCCAATTGCCTTATATGACCAACAGGTACCCGCAGCATTTTGCTGATTTCGTTACCTCATGCCCGGGTGCGCACCTGCTGCTGCTGTTGCTGCTGCTGCCGCACGCCTAGGCCGCCATCCAATGCAGGCACCGCCTTGCACCAGGCCGCTGTGACCGTATTTTGAGTGTGTTGTATCACGAAAAGTACCTATCGGTGGATGTCAGATTCCGTGATATGCCCGCATGGGATACACCATCCTTGTCCTTTTGCCTAGATTGCTCACTGCTGGCCTATGTCCGTGGCGGTGCATCTCGCTGCAGGGCCGGCAACCGCATCCGTCAGGGCTCCCCTATGGAGGAGGCCAGCCTGGTGTCACACGTGCACGGCCTGGCGCCGCGTGCGGCAATTCTTGAGGAGGCGGGTCAGCTGGGCGAGCTGATGGTTCTACTTGGGCACCAGGAGGATGCGCGGACACTGCAACGTGCTGTGGCAGCCTGGCAGGCGGCCTATCAGGTCGGGCACCTCGGGATCAATCCACTTTTAGAGCACTTCGTGTCTTTCGGCGCTATTTTTTTAACGAGGCGTGCGTGTGTGGATACCGCGAATTCTCGGGTGACTCATGATTTTTTTATTTTGCATTGTGTTGTTCTGACAGGTTTTGTTGTACTGACGGCTTTGCATGACTACGTGCGTCAGCCATACATGAGAGTAGTCTAACTGGACCTGTGTCCTTTGCGGCTATTCCCCCCCGCTGCACAGGAAGCGCGGAAAAACATGGCAGCAAACCCGGTTCCCGTGGACGGGCCGCCGCATGCACGCGCAGAGATGGAGCGCCTGCTTCAGCCTGCCCCCGACACATCAAATTTGGCCTGGAAGTGGGAGGTGCTGCGAGATTTTGCTTAATTTTCCTCAACTCTTGCGACTCTGATCGTCTGACCTGACGGCAAGAAGGAGGCCTGTCAAGACAGTGGCTCCATATGTGCTATTAGTGCCTTGAGATTACCACCGGTTACTCTGCAGCAGTAACCGGTTTAGAAGCATGCATTACAATGTGGACATGAAACGCGGATTCATGCCTCACGTGCCAAGATAGCCTGACAAGAGCATTCAGAATCTGCTGCTTAAAGTTTTCATTGGTATTGTATGGCAGAAGTGTGTGCTCTCAAAGTAAGCTGTATGACATGTGGGTTCGAAGCTGCAACTGGTATTTTCAGGTACCCGTAAAAAAACTCTGTAACTACACGTCGGAATGTATTTATAAAAGCATGTAGCTGCTTGCAAAAAATGTCATAAATAAGAATTATTAAACCCCCGCTTAAAGAGGTTTATGGGAGGCATCCGTATCGGTCGGGTCGCGATGGCGTGCTCACATAGATTTTGGCGACAAGCCATAGCATATAGATTCTGATCCTGCTTTAGAAGTCGGCACGCCGGCTGCTAGTTGTGGTACTGGTACGTCACACCACATCCAGTCATCCGGTCCTCAAGGCTGCGGTAATACTTTTGCAGCGAATACCAGCGTCCAGCGATTACGACGGAGGTAATGGTCAGAGACGGTCAGAGGAGAGGGCGCAGGCACCGAGGGCTGCGTTGTGGCTGGGCTGAGGGCCGGGGTTAAGACAGTAACACCAAGGATGCATTTTATGAGCGTCTATAGTTACAAGTTACAAGTGCCGCACGAGTGCGCGGCACAAGTGTCCATCAAAGCCGGGAGGCCATGGAATATATTGATAGTTGGTTCCACCGTACAACCGACGGTGGTTTTTTGGTCCTGCTACCCAGACCCACCTCATCCAGTCTATATGGAGCTGCCAGAACCCAGGAGAGGCCATGAAATATTCTTCGTATCACCGGAAATGCGGTTTGTAGGCGAGGCCTTTTAGCAGTGGGATTGTACGGCGGTGGCATACGGACTCGTCTGGGTGCGCCTTTACTAGGAGTGACAAAGGTAGAAAGCCGAAGCGGCAACAGAGGCGCCTGTTAATAAAGACACGATATCTGGGGTTAGTGTATGGGCCGTAACGGCAGTTCTGTTCCTGCCGTCAGCAGTTGTATGACACAGCAAGAGCAGCTATGTTCGCGTTGAGTGCAAAATTAGATAAGCTAAAGTTGTTCGCCCCAGATGTGAGGATGAGGTGTTTCGATTCGCAGGTACGAGCAATACTGTTGTATGGTTGTCAAGCGTGGGGGCCGTTTATGCTAGCTGAGGTCTTGGACAGGCTCAGGAGGCGGAGTGATTCGAGTAACCTTGCAGAGGGGCCCTTCGAGGCATGCCTAAAGGACAGAGCAGTGCAGATTCAGATATCTTTCATGCGACAAATTGTAGGAGCTGCCAGATCAACACACCGCCTCCTGTTTGCTGAGCTGTCGCAGCTACCCCTCCAATACCACGTCTTCAAGCAGGTTGTGAGGTTTTGGAACAGTGTCCGTTTACAGCGTGGGTCTGTGGCACACCAAGTTTTGCGACAGGAGGTCGCAGAGTCCCTCTCCAACCCCGAAGGGGACGGATGGGGGACACTACTTCTCCGTTTTCTATATTTTCTGGGGCAAGACGTATGGAAAGAGGCCCCGCAAGGGCTACACGAGGTAGACGAACGAGTGGAGTGGCTGATGAACTTGCAGTACTTTTGGTTACGCCTTGCGTTGTGTTTCTGGAATAAGATAGTCAAGTCCCGTGGGTCGGTCTATCATGACGTGTTAGTAGATGATCTCCGTCTGGCTCTTCTGTCTGATCTCAAAGTGGATTGCTGGTCGTCTAAAGTGCTCATCATTTTGCGTTGGTTGGGCCATGAGTGGCCGGCGTGTGACTCCGTTTCTCAGAAGGTAGATGTATACTCGTCTCAGTTGATTCGAGTGGGTGAGGTTCTGGAGAGGTTATCTGCGTTCCTTTTAAGTGACTGGGATCAGTTCAGCCAAGGGGGTGATCCGCGTGTGTTCCAAGGTAAAGGGGTTTCGCTTTGCAGGTAGGCCAACGCCAGAAGGTGTGGTTTTGGAGTCCAAGGACCGATTAATGAGTGGTTGGAAGCATACGCGTTTAGATGTCCAGCCGGACATGTACCCGTCAGACGGCAAGCAACCAGGAATTCACATGGCGAAGTATAAGCATTGGATGGGTTTGGCGGCCGAACAACCGGGCAGGAAGGAGGTGCTCCCGCATATCACAATGTTTATCCCGCGTTCAGCGAATCGCAAGCTTATGCAGTTTAGGCTTTGTTGTTGGGCATTGGAGGCTAACAGAGCGCGTAAGGGACGGCGTTATATACCTAGGGAGGAGCGAGCACTCGAGGCACTGAGAGCCATATCGAGGATGAGAGGCACATTTTGCTGGACTGTCCGGTGTACGACAAAATCAGATCTGATATGGGTTTCCCACGCTTCGAGCATATGAAGGACGCTATGAAGTGGGAACCTGAACGCCTGGCAAGGATGCTGGAACGTATATGGTCCCACCGCAACTCTATCGTTCCCTTTGGTCGCTAGTATCCTTCATCACTTGTTTCCTTGGAAGTGCGAGGTAGGATGGTGCTTATAGGCGATCTGGCAGCCCTTGAACCCTCGGCTCGTATTAGGGTGGTTTGCAGGTACGGGGAACGCACCCACGAACATGTAACAACAACAACAATAAAGACAGCTCCAGTAAAAGGAAATCCCACGCCTATGTTTTCTTGCTCGCCAGGAAATCTGACGTGACCGGCATTCCCTCTTTCGCTTTCTTTGTGCGTGATCTCGGGCCGGGTGGTACGTGGGCGTGTGACGAGTAGTCCAACGAGGTGCAAGCGTGTGGCAAATGAGGTAGCTAGAGCCAGCGCGATGTAGTATAGACTCGCAGGTTGGCATCGTACGGTTTAAACCAGAAAGAACCTGAGCTTCACCCGGCTTTTTGCTGCTTCTCTGGGAACTGTGCTTGGATGAGCTGTTGGTAATTTGTGTCTTTTTATGGATACAGAAGACTACGAAACCGTAGTTGCGAACGTTTGAAGCATTGTGAAGTATTGTTTCAGCCATGTATCGGACCGACCGATATTTAAGTGGATATTTACATCCGAGTCCCGCGACCGCAGAACTATGTCGAGATTGGCAAAATAGCCAAGTAGATCCATTTGCCGTTCCGGCAGACAGACGAACAGAACTCCTAACTATTTGATCTTCTCTAACACTTCACGTGTACAGCAGCAGCCGTCGCCACCCCATGACTTCAATCCAACAAGCTCCATGGTGTGAAGAGCAGATGGTGCTCTGAAAAACCATGCTAAGCTCAGTCCCCCCCTCCAGCGCCCAACGAGATCATCTGTTTACAGGACGTAAGCCAGCACGCTGTCCAGAGCGGACTTAGCAGCCTCCAGCTTCTTCAGGGCAGAAGTCTCGTCCTTCTCACGAAGAGCAAAGTCCAGGTCCTCAACCTGGGGGGAAAAAGGCAACCAGGAAAGGTCTTCAAGCTCGCCTCAAGGGAAGATATTACAAACAGGGACAATGCAATCTCAAACCATACCCCCGGCCCCAACATAGTTGCCGTCCGACGCCGAAAGGTCATAGCCAACTGCCACAGCACGGCTACAGATAGCCCTCCTAATGCCTGAAATCCTACCTTCTGAATGAACTCCTTCTTCAGCTCCAGAGCCTTCTTCTTCTCGGCCTTGACACCCTTGGCACTGGCCAGGGTGTTCAGGTCGAAACGCAGAGTGCCCACCTGGCGGCGCAGCTGCTCGCGGGCCTCAGTCCTACAATCATGAATACGTGCTGTTAATAGCCATCGCGCAGAACAGTGACAACGACATGGCCTCATGCAACGTCTCACGTACGACATCCCCGATTTCTTCTTACCAGTAGTTCTTCTTGATGAAGCCCTCCAGGTCAGCGTCAATGCGAGTCTCAGACTCCTTCACACGCTTGATGGTCGCATCAATGCTGCCGCGAGCCTGGTCCAGACCGTCGCGGGCCGACTGAGGCAGATCCAGATCACTGCACACAGGCAAAGGGAGCGTTTATAATTCATTATACGTCGTCGAGCCCGTAAAAAGCGGTTCAAAGGGTGCTCCAAGCAAGTGTCTCACCGGGCCTCATAGATAAGGTCGAAGCCAGTTTCCCTGACCTTGCGGTCGTCGAACAGATCCACAGGGGTGGCAGCGGCCTGAGCCTTGTTCGCCGAGGTCAGAGCCACGACAGTGCTCGCCAGCAGACCGCCCAGCACCTGGGAATTTTCCAGCGCACACAGGTGAACGCCTGAACTGCAGCTATCAATTCCTAGAAGAACGTCTTACCGCACGGCGGGACTCGACCGAAGCGCGCACAACGACGACACCCCTGTAAAATGACAAGGATATCGTTCAGCAAGAGCTCAGTTCTATTCGCTTGTGCGCTCTTGGACCTAGAGAGAATATGTTACTAAGGGTCCTCATAAAGTAGAGCGAGGAGAAGTGCTAAGCAGACACCGTCGGCGCTGTCATTTCGCAATCCCACCTGCGAGAGGCCACAGCCGGGCGCGAAGCAACCTTCTGGGCGAGGGCCATTTTTAGCAGAAGTTTGCAGTGATAGAACGGAACGCTTGGCAAGACTGTGACGATGCAGAAGCTGACCGCGCATGAAGTAGTAACATCTGCGTCGTACAGCATCTGTCCGTGCAGATGGGCCCTGTGCCAGCGCCCTTTTGGCTCATCACAACTATCTTTGACTATAAACAACAGGTTTTCTTATCTGCTGAGTCTCTTGAATTTACTAGAGTTTAGTCGTAACGATAGATGCTTTGTGTGCGTTACGATCAAGCATTTCCAATATGCCATGGGGATCCTGCTGTCTTGCCCTTGCCGTTTTGCGTTCCGGCATGAGTAAACGCTGCACAGCTTGGACAGCGAATACAACCTGCTGCGCAAGCACAGGTCCGTGCAGAACTTGAATGAGGTAGCCGTGGGGTTTTCTGCTTGTTTAGCTTTGGGTGTTAGGATAGCTTTTCCGTAATCAGCGAGATAGCTTTCATGATAATGTAGTTGGAGTTGGTGCCGCAAGCCATTTCTTATTCACTTCACATTTGCGAAGCTGCGATAGCACAACGCTGGTTGCCTAGCCTTGTCTACAGCGTATAAACCCTTCTTTTTCTGTATAATCCGTCACCATACCCCTAGGCTGTTTCTGGTCCGATAACGCGTTAAGATGTCTGGGGAAACGCGGGGTGGTTGCAGAATATGGAGGCCCATACCTGGATGATGGTAGATAATTGCATAATCAAGGCAATTCGCTGCCTTGCCATCCCCACACTTATTAAGCGTTCACGGCAAGGAATCCTGGGGGCCCCGTGGCTGAAGCCGCAATATCCTGGTGCGCGGTGTTCGTTGACACATGTTGATGGCACGGTTACACACATGCCGCGGAATTAAATTTAGCGTTGTATATTGTAGGCGTTAAGGCATGCCTGATATATTCCAGAGTCCCAGGCATAAGTACAGATACTATGTCACATCCCGAAACATATCACATCTGCTCCCCTCTCTGAAAAGCTGGCCAACACCTAGTGCCAGTCGAGCTGGCGCCGCTGCATTCCCTTCTCGGAATTCTTAATAAACTGCACGCCTACTTAATGAAAGCCAAATGATGTCCACGACCTTGCGCTACCGTACACAGCCTCGGCCCGCGGGCCGGTCACGAACAATATGGACCGTCCGTCGGCTCGGTATGGTGAACAAAAATTGCAAATGGAAAGGGCGTTTCACATAAATCATACATGCAATACCACCAGGACAGCGAAGGTCTAATACACTTCCCCCAATCGTCGGTTATGTAGTGAGGCGCATCTTCCCAACTCCTGGAGCACGCAGGACTTGCTTGCTCGTCATCTACCATTCTGACCGCATCCTTGACAGAACCCGGCAGCATCCACACCGAAAAGATGCTACAAGCCCATACCTTTGCATGGCACGATGCAGGGTCCCATCAGCTAGATTGCTACAAATTCTGAGGCACCGCTGCTGCATGCCATCGCAACCTGCGTCTGTCCGGTCCCGCAGCCAAGTTTTATATATATATATATCATATCATATCAGCTGCTACTGCGGCCTGCCCCAGGCCACGACGCCCAAGACCGGAGCATGTCCCTGCCGGGACTGCTCGAGCTCACCCATACAGCTGCCAGCACAGCGACCACGATAGCCAATGTGACAATGGTATTGCCGAAGGGCTGGTGATGGTGATGGCCCGGTTGAGGCTGTTGCCGCTGCACCGCGGGTGCCTCGGTTGCTGGACTCGGGGCTTCGCCCTGTGCCTGCGTTTGTGATTGTTCTGCGTCCTGATCCGACTTTGGGCGCTCCGGCCCTGTTCCGGATGCTGGGTCCAGCGGGACAACGGGTGCAGCCGGTTGAGACGCGGCTGCCGTACGATGCGACAATTCCTCCACCCAGCTTGGAAACAGCTTTCGAAAAGTTGGGTTTTTCACGTTAAACTGCAAGGACTCCCGGGCCATCCGCTCCTTGTCCTGCTTTGAGGTTGTGATGCTGCCGGTTGTGGCCTGGGTATCGTACATGAAGCTGAGCAGTCCAGTCAGAATGGTGCCCACGGACCACATCGGATTCCAGCTCTGCAGGTTCAAGCAGGAACAGCGTGCGGTCAAGCCTATGAAAAAGAAGCATGCGGACTGGGAACGAGAGGCTAGCTGTCCAAGCCCAGGGAGCATCCTCCCGTTCAAGATGCCCCCAATTTCAGCATTCACGTCCGGTTAGGACGGCAGAAAGATCCCTGATCATGCGGACCGGATGGAACCTGGACAAAGAGATAAAGACAGCCCGTCAGAGGAAGTGCTAACATCCAGAGGAGCTCTAAAGCACTGGCGGCCGATGTCCAGCTGTTGGTTATCAGTCCGGTCAGTTTGCAAGGTAGTACAAAAAGACGCATCGAACAAAATGCCCCACCTCAGGATGGTAGTCCGTCATGCTAAGGCACAACTTGGTGTTCGTCGCGAAGCGGCCGTTAGGCGTGAAAAGGGAAATGGAAGGCGGCTTGAAGGGGTACTCGGGTGGGAAAACAAGCTTCCCATGGTACACTCCACCCTCGTATTCTGTGCCCTGACCATGCAAGCCACCCAAACGGGTGATTTTAGAGTCAATGCTCATAGAATGCATTCACTTGCTTATGCGTGGACAGTGAAATCATGGCGACGCGCTGTATCCGATGCCGATTGCCTATTGATCTCTGCACAGTTGTGCAGTGCGTATGCCCGCTTTGCAATACGGAAAGGTAGCATATGCGCCTGCACCATTCGGGCCATACACCCCAAGTCACGAGCACACCGCCGAAAATCGACGTGAAGTACGGACACTCGAGACACAGACTGTGGTGCCGTCGGTTAGCTCACCAATCCCACGCCTCACCTACCATGGCAACGGAATTGAGCAACCTCACCTTGGCGCCCTCAAGCACAAAGTGCCATTCAAGCAGGTTTGAAGGTGACGGGTGAGCTGTGATGTTGGGCACGGGGTCCTGCGGGACAACCGCGGGTCGCCATACCGTGACATGATCTCAGCCCCACACGAATCAGACGTGATGCATGGCCAGGCATGGATACGCGTCACAGTCTTAAGGCGGAAAACAATCGGACACGACCTTCAGATTTGTCTGGAATCAAAACTCCAGTGAGCTTACCTTAAGCAAGCTTTTGTACTCTTTTTGCAAACGCGTCATGCACTGCTTGTGGACGCCTGCCATCGAAACTGCAGAGACCTCGGGGAGGAAGGCACCCCTAAGCTCACAGCACCCCTTGGGTGGAAAGGAGAATAGTCAAGCTAAACTGTCGTTGTATTAGTAGACGAGCTCTAGTTGTGAAAGAAGGCAAAATCACAAGGTTTCTCTTGCTTAGGCTTAGGGCTACTTTAGGACCTTTTGCAGGGTTCACTTCACGTTGCAGATCACCGTCCACTAACTGAACGCCTCAGACTTGTGAAGTATTATTAGATGCGCTCGTTGCCTACGTGCTCTGAGGGCTGCTGTACATTAGCCCGTACCTGTGTTTATGCATAAGGAAACCTCCCTCACATTTCTCCATGTTCAAGCCGACTTTTTCCTGCGAAAACATTAAGCAAAGCCATTTGTTAAGCTGAAGCCCCTTATTCGCAAGATGGCTCCTGGTTACCCTGCGTTTGCGTGCGCACAGAATACTGAATTGAGCAAAAGCACTGATAGGAGGAAGCACTTAAATCTTCTTCTACATGACTATAGCGAGGTAATGGAAAGATAGGCGACATCACTCTTCGGGTTGCGTTCTCAAACTAGCTGCTTTCTATTTCTGTCCTTGCCAGGAAAACAGGCGCATCTATGGAGGCACAATGCCTACAGCAGGAAGCATGCTAAAGCCGATTCGAGACCTTACCGAGGTAAGTTTTTTCGTTAAGACGGGCAAAAGAAGAGATGCAGATGCACGTATGAACCTTCGAAAGGCCGCCCGATTCTTTTGCAGGACTCGCGGCCAAGATATAAAGCACTTGAGGTAAATGCATAGGTAAATGAGCCAGGTCTGTCTCTTCTGCGTGCTGAAAGCAGCCATTTCGTACCGTGTGGGCGCTTGGGCTAGAATTATTTTCCTATATTTTCAGCCCGCTTTGACATCATTTCTATCTGTACTTGAGATTTTTAGATTTGATTCCAACTGCCACACTTCTTTTGCGTAGCTGCGGTTACCCCGAGAGCGTCCCTTGCCTTGACATTCATTATTCCCTGGTCCGTCGACCCATCGCGCAGGGAGAAGCTGCGGTTTCCCGGCAATTAGCCTCCCAGGTCAATAACAAGCGCACTCCGACCGGTCAGTTCTTTACCACAATAAACCCAACCCTGTACGAAAAGCAACCTCCGCCGGCCACATACGAGGGGCAGAACATCACGGACACAGCAGTCGCAACCATGCGCGGGAGCGGCCGATTTACCGGCACCGGGGGTACCGACGCTCGGGTACCGGCTGACCTAGGGCAAACACAGGGCAGCATCGGGGCCGACATTGGCAGCGGCGGCACTACCACCTTGCCACCCATCGGTGGCTCCGATGGAAAGCGGGCAAACTGGTTGCTTCCGTGGCAAACCGGAGACCGGCAATTAGGTGCGTTGGGCCCGGACTTGCATATCTCGTTTGCAATTAGACGCAGCACGGTGGTTTGGTGGGCTACGGCCAAGGGACCTCTACGGAGACTAACCGTGAGTGCTCATCACGGGCACGCACCTGGTTAAGTGTGTGCTTTAATGACCTGAGCCGTGTGTGTGTTCATGTCCGCGGTTTGCAATCGCGCAGCTCGGCAGATACAGACGTTTCGCCCTATCACGGTTAATGACATGCATTGCAAGGAGCTGGCTCAGAGTGTCCTTGGTCCGCGCTCTTGTTCCGCTGCCACCGCAGGGAAAGTCATGGCGGACGCGATTCGCCATAAGCGCACGCCGATCGGCGCCTTTGCCAACAGGGACCTCGCCAAGCCCAACAAGTAGCGGAGGGCGCATCCGGAAGGAGCCTCCAGTAGTGGCCATACCTTCGTGCGGGGCCATCCAACAGTGGAGGCATGGCGTGTATGATTAGAAGTCGCCGGCCGGCGCAATACAGGAACGGGGTTTTGTTCTTCACAAGCGCAAAAAGTGAACTTTTACGGCGGTGATATGATCTGGGTTGCACTAAATTATTCCGCCTGGGTTGTCCAACTGAGGGCTCACCATGGCTGCTATCCTTAACGGGGCGTGCACTGGTGCAATCATCGGATGGATTACTCGGCGTTCAATCGTTGGAAGCCCTATTGAAGCGGAATGTCTGTGGAGGTGGTGTGCAAAGGCCTGCTTATGACACGCTTTAATGGCGACCTAGACGCTGCTTGTGTGCGTTGGCTATCACAATTTTCGTGTTGGTTCTAGGTAGCGTGGTGCTAAGCATTCTAGTACAGCTGTACCTTGAGTCATGCAGGTTGTTATCATAGCGTACATATGTTGATAATGCATATTTGGAATTGCAGTATGGCGACCTATACGCATTTGGTTGCCATCGAGATGGCAGGTGCACACAGAATTGATTCATGCTGGGGGAGCACGCTGCGCCAGTGCATGCCTGTTAGCTACAATCCATAATATTTTTTGTTTATTCTGGCGCCGGCGCCCGCGGGTGATGTGGAGCGAAAACAGTACGACTGTCCCGGTGGAAAATGTGGGAGTGTCTGGTGTTGTCGCAGGGGTTTGATTGGTTGGCCGTGGGTGGGGGCCCACCTCAACGATTGTGCTGAGGATGGCTGCGGGCTGATCAGAGAATGCTGACACGGAGCGCGTGAGAGTCAGGCAACCGTTCCCCACCAGACTATCGCGTCATATGACTCTAGCATCAACTCTGGATGTGCATATGCACTTATGGACTGCTGTCCCATGCACACCAGCATGCATCTACTAAGTTGAGGCGCCGTTGATTCGCTAGATTTGGTTGGATGCTGGTGGTGAGTTGCTGAACCCAACGAATACATTCTGAAGTCGGATGGGGTGAATGGATTAGGGTGCCTCTCTAGCAGGGGAGAGCAGGGAACTGCCTCGGGAAAGGGGGCCGCTGGTGAAGCTTAACCACCCTGTAACGACATACATCTACAGCCAGTGCCAGCCGTTGCGCCCAGGGTATTTTGCTAAAGAGGGATGAAGAGCCATGAAGTACCTCTTCCGTCATCCGATACGTCTGAAGCTGTTAATGTGCCTCACCATCCTGTATTTTGAGGGCCTTGCATCGTTGCCCGTTTGCATGTCAATTGTCGTACATGCAATAACAGTGCGATAGGAGACGGGAAAGGTTGTTTCAGCGTCAGGGACAACAGGCCCGCTAGTGGTATGGGCGGTCGTATGAATAAATGCTCCATGCGAGTTCCATGCAGAAAATTTGTACACCGTAAACGCAGTCCAGGCCTGCCGTCGTACGGTTTTTAGGTTGGCTAATTTTCTGCGGCAGATGTTCAGACCCACCCATTAACAGTTGTTAATGTGCAGGGTTAGCACAATAGTAAACTCTTAACGCCTAAGTACACCCGCGCAACCAGTTGACCACATTGACCCTAAGTTTGCATAATCCACGGAAGCGCCTTGAATGGGTGTGAAGAAATTCCGACGAGGACTACACTCTAAGTTTACGTATGGGTTGGCGGCAGCAACGCCACCCCCCAATCGATGTAATGTCTAACCCGCATATCTGCGCGTTCCATGACAGGCGATCGCATGTCCGCGATCAGCAGCTAAGTTGCTCACCATTGCCCTGTTCTAGGGTAATCATGTCCCTCCTCCCCGCAAAACGAGTTCCGATCACAATCCGCCTCCTACAAAGCCGTGTAGATAGGTACATGGTGTGTTGTCACGAAGGATTCGTGGACCTACCCCTAACCCCTTACCCCGTTGCCACTTGGCAACATTTTGTAAGAAATAAGAACATGCTGTTGCGGCCAGCACCACGTGCTGCCACATCACCCACCCAGAACACATCTTACAACCAGGAATGTACACCCCACCTCGCGTGCACACCAATTCGGGACAAGCCGCGCCCCGCCTTCAACGACGGGAGACCTCCCCTTTTGCAAAAAACATCCAGCAAATGCACCACATACATGGTAGGGTACTTGGGAAAAAACAAAAACGACAAGAAGGAATCAAGGTTATAGTTGACACGGTTGGGTCACTCTCATACATGTGCCGTACCGAAGGCGTGGACCGCGCATCGGACCTTGGAAAGCACGGAGAACGTCGCACCGGAATATGCTCTCAGAACTCGCGTTACCAACAGAAATTGGAACCAAACAACGGTCAGGTGCATTCCAACCCAAATAGAACTCGGCAACGCAACAACTTGCATACACAACAAATGCACATGTACGACAACCAAAACAAAGCCGCCAAAAAGAGGATAAACGTCATCATCACGTCCCGCCACCTAGTACCAAAGTCCACGTCCACTAGCTAGCATGTTCCAACTAAATGGCAATTTAAAAATTACTTCCAATCCAATTATTCGCGTTACAAACTACTGTTGTGCTGCTGTTGTTGGAGCTGCTGCTGTTGTTCACGATGCTGCTTCTGTTGCGCGTCTGCCGCCATCAACGCCGCGCCGATGATAAGGCTGCCACCCGCCCACGCGACGGGGCCGGTAGCCTCGCCGCCCAGAATCAAGTACGCGAAGAAGGCCGTACATAGAGGTGTCATAGAGTAAATCACCTAGAGCGGGCTCGAACCCAGGAGGGATATTGCGGGAGGTGAGGGTCTGAGGGAGGTGGCTTGGGAAGGAAACTGGGGTAGAGCGATGGACGAAAGGTAGGCAACACACAGACACAGACACAGACACATAATTTCCGGGTTTCCAACTCTCCAAGGTCTCCAAAACTATGTTTCGAATGGAGCCGGCGAAGCCACAGGTGAGAACTACCACAGCGCTAAGAATTTGAATCCCGATGGCGCTAAACACCGGCAGTTACGCAGTTACGCATACGGGCATCCTCAGTGGGTCCCAACCCCCGATATCACCAACAGGATGTCACAGGCCTGCCGCCCAGGCATTGAGACTACGACCCAGCGGCATCACCCACCCACATCCCCACAAAGACCTAGGCAGATGCCACCGTATGTATGCGTACACACACACACCCACCCGTTTGCTGTGCCCCCCTTCCAGTCCCACCGCCCGGCGCCATGAGGCGGTGTACATGCACAACGCTGCAAGACCCTCGTACCACACACTCACCCCCGCGCACCACTATTAGCCGCTACTGAACGGGCCCGCAGCAGGCGGCGAGCATATATATACATATATCTATGAATATACAGGTGCATATATATGTATTATACGGATGTACATACAGATCAGATCTCGCCTCGCCTCACCTGGGCCGTCGTGGCGGGCACAGTGGACAGCCCCGTGACTTGCAGGAAGGTCGCAAGCGCGCCGGGGCCCAGACCGCTGTACATCAGTACGGCAATGCTCATGGGAGTGCGGCTGGACAGATCGGGGAAAGAGAGCACCGCCCCGGGTGCGACGCCATTCTCTAAGGGGGGATGCGGGTGGAGGTGGAGGTGGAGGTGCAGACAACGAGCGGAGGTGTGAAACTGAGGGAAAGAGTGCCGCTGCACGAATATAGCACAAGACGTGAGAGACAGCCGAGAAAGGGGAGGGGAAGCGCCACCCAAATCTGCCACAGGCACACGGGCACACCGACACAGGGACACGTACATACATGCAGAGACACGTAACTAGGTAGCGCTTCCACAGCGCGGTCGTCCAGGGGTCCCAGGTTCAACCTCTAGAATTCCGGTAAGACCAGTCGAGAACCTGAAACTGCAATGGCTTGTGGCTAGGTGGTGGAGTTGAGGTCCGCAGTTGACATGCTGTTTTTTGTTTTTTTTGTTTTTTTTGTTTTTTTGTTTTTTTTTGTTTTTTTGTTTTTTTTGTTTTTTTGGGTTGTTGCTGGCTGTGATCGCCGTAACCTCAACGTCCTTGTACCGGGTGATTGGTTAACTAGGTGGACAACGTCATCCTAGGATGTCACGTAGCAGCCCGTGGTAGGCCGCGGTGTCCCCACCCTGACCGCGCCGGCCACCTTAACTCCCTACCCTCCAATACACCTGCCAGCCCGCTAGGGGGGCGACGTACCCGCCTCCCTCCCTCCCCCTCCCCCTCCCGCAGCAGCAGCAGCAGCAGCAGCACAGCTCCCTCCCCACTCACGAAGGTTGGTGGCCGCCATCCACATGACACTCATAGAGCTCAGTCCCACCTTCTTCATAGCCGCAAGACCCACCGTGTCCATGCGGGGGGCGTAGATCCCCATGCGCACTGCGGCTCAGGGTGGTCAGGGTGGGGGTGGGTGCGGCGATACGCGATGTAGAGCAGGAGGGTGCGGGCGAGGAAAGGGCGCAAGAGGGGCGCAAGACGAGTGAAAGCTGGGCATAGGTGCGGCATGGAATGTGCTATGGGGGAGATTTAGTCGCTGGAGGACCGAGCGGAGTGGCGTTGGACGGGGATAGGCAGCCAGGCAGGCGTCTCCCTGTTCCCGCCTCCTATGCGGGTGACATATGCATGGCTCGTCCCTCAAAACCGGGCCGCCGGTAGCAGCCGGGACCTGGCTGGCGCGACGCACACACACACACGCACACACACACACACACACCTGTACAAATGGAGTAAAACAGACAAGCCAGTAAAAGGTAGGCCTCGCCGCCTGTTATCGCCAGCGGCACAGCACTGACGGCCTCCGCTGCCTCCACTGACGACGCAGCGGCAGCGGCCCCGGCAGCGTCTGCCGCGCCAGCACCCACGGCTTGCAAGGCTGTGCTGGCGACGGCTCGGAGTGAGGTCCCAACGGCATCGGAAGTGTCGGGAAACAGGGAAGCCGCATCGGCAGCTGCGTCCACGACCGCGGCTGTGGCGGAGGCCGCGACATCGGCTGTAGCTGCTGATAACGTCCGCATTGTGTCGGAGGCCGCAGCGGCAGCAGCATCCACTGCTTCGAAGGAGCCCGCGATAGAGACACTCGGGGTATTGACCTCCGCTGCCTCAACGACGGCGGCGGCGGCGGCGACTAGGGGCGGGGGCCCAGCACCCCCGGCGATGCTCGCGGCATCTAGTGCATCTAGCGGTGATGAGACGGCCACCACCGCGTTGAGGTTAGATACCGAGGGGGTCATCGCAGCGTCAGATGCGGACGCGAGGGCCAGGGGGGCCAAGTCCTCGGCCAGCAGCAGCGACGCCCCGGGAGCAGCAACCCCGGCGTCCTGCAGCACCCCAACGGCGCCGGTGGGCAGGTGGTCGCCAGTGCCCTCGGGCCTAACGGAGAAGGACGCGCTTTCCGGCCGCAGCTCCCAATCACTAGGCGCTGACAGCAACGGCACGGTGCCGGCCGACACATCCACACCCGCTGACGGACTGGTTTCCGGAGTACCCGGGGGGCTGCTGGCGGGGTCTGGCGGCACGACCCTGGCATTTGCTGCTGTGGTGCTGGTGCTGGTACTGGTACTGGTGCTGGTGGCGGCTGCGGCTGCGGCCGCCGGGGTTGTGGCGGGGCCAGGAGCACCTGCAGATGATGCCGCCTTGGCCGAGGGGGGCCCCTGCGCATCGTGTGCCTGTCGCAGGTGGGTGAGGAGCACGGCAACAACAGACACATTTTGCCGTTGTGGCCATGTGGCCGTGTGGCTTTTCGCGACTTGGCGACGTGGTTTGCCTCACGCGTGCGGTCCAGGGGGGTCGAGCCGTGCGCAGGTGCACGGGGCCCCCATTTGCCTACAGGCGCTTGACGGCTGGGAGGTGCCGTCGCACTCCTGCCTAAAGTGGGGATTAACCCCTTTTTTTCCCCTAATCAGTTCTCCCCACAAAATGTTGTCACGGCTTCTTTTCTCCTCCTCTTGCCTTTCAAAGCAGGGCGCTACTGCGCGGATGGGAAGTCATCGCCGCAAGAAGATATGGACGCCCTGGGAGGTTCAAAAATTCACAAATGCAGCTTTCAACCTGGAACCCCGGCCCGGAACATGGCTGCACACCCCTCAGTCCTGTTTCCTGGATTACTGCGCCCCAAGGCGAGGGCAGCAGCACCACAAGCAAGCAAAGACCAGCACAGGAGGCCCAGCTGCTGTAACCAGCACCCAGCATCCAGCAAACAAGGGCTCGGACACAACTTTCGTCTGATCGTTCTCAGTACCTGCGATGTGTCGTACGCGACCAGGGTGCTGCCTACGAGCCCTACAGCAACCGCTAGCCACATCTGGCGCGGAATGTCGTACCCCGCCAGGTACGAGACGAGAGGCGTCAGCACCGCCGTGACTTCCGCTAGAAACCCCGCCCGCGTGGCGCTGGTGCTGTGCAGCCCCTCCACCTGCAGGACCAACACCACCACCCACCAACAGCACCAACACAGAGAGGGCCCGGAGGACGTCAGTACGGCATGTAGGGCAGGAGCCCGGAGCTAGGACGCTGAGAGCCAAGCGCCATTCACGTATTTTTTGCAGTACATTATCACACGCCCTTGACCTGTCTACCAGTACTCGTCACCATGCTCAACCCCGGGGCCGCAATGCGTGTCGGTGAGTGCTTCTGGACGTCCATGCCCTCGAACCCCCCGTCGTTACGTTGCCTGTCAGTACCTGCAAGGCCGTCCCCAGGAAGTTCAGGATGCCCAGCTCAAGGCCGCCCAGGATGACGTTGTCGAAGGTGCGTGTCATGAACGGCCCCAGTCGGGCGCTGTTGAGCGGCTGGGCAAACAGGGAGCGCTGTTGATGTGGCGGCGCCGCCTCGGGAGCCGCAGCAGGGCCAACCTCGTCGGCCGCTGCGGCCACGGCCACCCCGTCGGCGGCGCCGTCAGACATCCCCGCAAGAGCGGCGGCACCCTGGTGTGGCACAGCCTGGTGTGGAGCTGCCATGGGCCCCGCGGGGGCACCCTTAGGGGCATCATCAGTGCTGCCGCCACACACGACACCTCCTCGTCTTCGGAGCCAGGCGTCCCGGCCTGTCTTTACGAGGTAGCCAACCAGCGCTGGCAGGAGCAGCGCTCCGGCAGATAGTAAGGTGCGTACGGCAGTGAGGGAAGCCGGATCCAGGGGGTCGGCCTCGGCGTACAGGTAACGTATGCATGGGTTGTATGTGCCCCACAGGAGCGGCACCAAAGACAAAGAGAGGTACCCAGCGGTTCGGTCCGGAAGTGTAGATGTTGCATGCCGAGCTGTTGAGGATGCAGCTGGTGTGCTGGATGTCGAGGTGGCTGAGGCTGGGGCCCTGTCTAGGACACCCACCGGCGGAGTCGAACCGACGGGCGAGCTGCCATCTGGGAACGCCGAGGGTATCGAGCAGGTACGGCTCAAAGGGTATGGGTCCCCAAGCCAAGTAAACGCTGTGCGCTTGCTCTGGCGTTGGTAAAGGCGCGGCCATCTGTGCTGGTGCAACAGCGTAGGCATCATGTCTCCCTAGGGGGCAGTGTTACTTGAACAGCACACGCGAGCTTATTTCAGGGCAGGCAATCAGCAGGTATCAGGTAGTATGTGGTGGAGCTATCTTAAAATATGTGCCACTGCATGTGTGGTGGGGGTCACCCTGCTACATATTAGCCTTGTCCCTACAGGCGAATACATCAATGAGTGTTACAAACAAGTTGCATAATCGCTTGCTAAAACGGATAAGACGTCCAAGCAAGCCTTTGCGGTCGAATAGGGGCGACGGGTGACCAAACATTTTTTTGGTGTACGAACCATGTAATTTGTTGTTTCATGCATGGCGCCGAAAAATTCTTTGTTTGGAAGGTTGTTTCAATAACAAGATACTTGTTTACACACCTAGACTTGATTTGTCTCGTTGAACTGTCGTTATGCGGCAGTCTGTTGACAAGCGCACGGCCAGCTCGTCTGGCCGAAGGGCACCTCCTTTATTTCATCCACGGGGACGACAATACAATGTCACTCGCGTTGGCCGAAGAGTAGCGGCTCCTTGCGGATGGACGCCGCTCGAACAGGACCCTTGCACCAGCGGCCGGCGATGCGGTGTTGTTGTTCGCGTTGCAGAGGTGCGTATGGATTGTAGGAAAAGTATATGACTCGCGTGTAGGGGGCCGAGTTACGAGTTCGCGAGTTCGTGGCGACAGCCTTTGCACCTTACGCGCTTGGCCTTTTCCATACGTTTGCACAATTTTAGCATCACTTCATCTACATGAATATCTTTCGCCTCTGTTAGCATGCGGCGCGAAAGTCTAGAGCGATGGTATAGGGGCTGCGGTTGGGGCTGGGCCCGTATATTAGTCCTATTTACCTAGGGACATCCTATGCAAGCGTCACCCTTCACTAGGAACAATGCTGTCTGGGCACTGGCTTCTGGAACATGGCAGGTCGAGGCGGTGCAGGCGCCGGCAGTAACTACTGACCCGGCGGAGCAGCCCATCGCCCCAACGGTGGAGACCCTCAATGATGCAGAAGCAGAAAAGAGCAGGACGGGATCGTCCGGCATTTCTTCTGGTATCCGGCTCGAGAACGTGAGTTAGCCCGGGTTCGGATTAAGCCTGAGGTCTCTTATCACAGCCGGGGATGGCGTGCGGGGTTTTTGCATTGTGCCTGGATTCAGCCTGGGCCCACGGCGATGGGATCATCCACAACACCGCTGCCTCCCGTGTTCGGGGGATGTGCACTAGGCCGGCAATGAGGACGCGACGTGCAGCGAAGCGCTCGTCTCCCGCCTGATGCCCCAGGAAACACAAGCTCACGCCCGGGTACATCCACCGCAGCTGTGTTGTACGTGGCTACTTAGCACAAGAGGCACAGCCCCTCACTCAAACCCCTATGGGTCTCAGCATCCTGCAACATTCCATGCGTATGTCTGTACATGTGTCGTACACGCTCGGGGTCACGTGCGCCCTCAATCCTGCGGACCTGCCTGATTACTCAGGGCTTGCCAAGTGCCTGCAACGGCCCTGCTTCCCCCCACCCAACATACACCCTTTGGTGGGGCTCTGCGCTCACTGTTCCCACCGCCGTTGTGGAAAAATGACCTTCCCTTGAGGGGTGGCCTTTCCCTGCTGAGGGGTAGCCGCATCGTCGCCATGAGCAACTTCCGCCACATTCTCTTCCCGTCGACAGAGTGAAGACCGGCCTGCCAGTCTGTCTGTCCGTCAGTCTGTACTCACTGTGGGTCGCACTGCTGCCAGTGTGCCACGTGGGTCCCCTTGGGTGCTGCCCCTCCCCCCTCACCGCCTCGGGCCCCCCGCGATCCCCCCCTAACCCCCCCCTGCTGTAGATCGCCATGACGTTTAAGAACCAGCAGGTGCTCAAGAACTGCAGCTGGGAGGTTAAAAAGGGCGAACGAGTGGGGCTTGTCGGTGAGCGGACAGGGGTGGGATGGGGCAGGGCGCAGAGGAGATAAGGGTGGCGGGGAAACAGGGAGGAGGGCGTGTAGGGGTATTTGCAGAGAGAGCAGAACCAACTCCAGGGAAGGCAAGGAGAAGGGGAAATGAGACAAAGTAAAGGTGGAGGGGAAGGGGAAGGAATCACCTGGGTGGGGAGCCGAGCACGGGCCCCCTCAGGTCCCGGCGAAGTGAAGTGCTGCCAGGCACCAGTGCCAACGACTGACGGGAGGGACCCGAGAGGCGCGGGAACCCACATATCTGCTGATAAGAATCTGGACAAGGGGTCTGTTATTAGGGGTCCACAGCAGCGTAGCTCTGGGATGGCATGCCAGTGGACGGATGAGGGCGTGTACGTCGGCTGTCCGACTGGCTAGTGGCCCCTGCTGGCCGGGGTGGGGTGGGGTGCGCTCAGCTGACGCGTACATCCGTACCTCGGGGTGCTGTGGGTGACTCCATGCTACTCGCCAGACCTTATGAGGCCATGTCGGTGGTAGTATGAATGACCCTTGGTGAGGTGAGGTGAGGTGAGGTGGGGCAGGGTAAGATAGGGCAGGGTAGGGTGGCGTGTCCATTTCCTTGGTTCCTGTGCCGCAACAGCCACAGTGCGGCAACGGCTCCATGCAGACACATGAGGGGGTCACAGCGGGGTTAAATGAGGGGTTCGCAGTGGCAGCGCAGCATGGGTTGGGGGGCATTGCCCGCAGCACTTCCCGGGGTTGCCTGTGTACGACCCCGCATGATTTCGTGGCTCCCCGATAATGAAGAGGAACTCGGCACCTCTGGGTCCATTGTGGAGGTCTGTATTATGTTCATGGCCGGGTGGGCGGGAGACGACTGGGGCCCAGTAAACCGGCTAGCCAGGCAAGGTTTCGTCGCGCCCCACCGACAGCGCACTCCACATCCAGGATTCCCACATATGCCCACCCTCCTGCCCCGTGACCTTACGTGTTGAATGTTTAACAGCTCTGCTTTCCTCCAAAGCCTCCTCCCTCTCCCCCCCCCTCCATGTCACCCACAACAACCGCCCTGCGCATGCTCAGGTGTGAACGGCGCGGGCAAGACCACTCAGCTGCAGATCATCATGGGCCGCCTGCAGCCCGACTCGGGGGAGGTCATCAAGGCCAGACGCAACATGCGGATAGCCTATCTGGCTCAGGAATTCGACGTGCAGCCGGGGCGCACCGTGCGGGAGGAATTCTACAGCGTCTACGAGACACAGATCAAGGTGGGGTGGGGTGGGATGGGATGCGGGAAGCTGATTTCCCGAGTGGAGGGAGATCCTACGGGAGCCTCTTCGGTTGGACCGCCCCGGCCCAGCGGGCTGTCACGTTCTCAGGGCCCTCACACGGGGCGGCAACCCTGTCCGGTGTCCGTGTGCTCCTTGGGGGCCAGCTGTCTGGCGCAGCTGTCTGGTGTGTTTCTCTGGGGATCTCCTGACTTAGCGGCCGCGTGTGTGCATTGCGTGTGTGTGTGCACGTGTTTTGCTTTCCCCCTTCCTCCCCGCAGATCAAGCGGCGGCAGGAGGAGTTGAGCATGTCGCTGGAGAGCGTGGGTGACGACATGGACCGCATGCAGCAGATCTTGGACGAGCTGGAGAAACTGAACAACAAGGTAACGGGGTAACAGGCTGGGCACCGCGAGTGCCGGGTTGTGGCGTGTGGTGCGTTGGGGGGAAAGGGAGGTAAGGGGGGTTCACCAGGGGCAGGACAATGGGGCGCTGAAGGAGGCTGCCTGGAAGGAGGTCTATGGAAGGAACCAAAGCTCTGCGGTGAATTCAAACTGTAGCAACGGTAACAGTAGCGGCTGTTGTGGAAGGAAGATTCTGTTGGGTTTGTGTGTGCGCGTGTGTGTCGACCTCCTGGGAACTTTACCTACCTGCCGCCGCCTTGCCGCCCCCTACCTCCCAATCAGGTCATTGACTTGGACGTTGAGCTGCTTGACAAGAAGATTGACCAGATGATGCCCGAGCTGGGCTTCAAGCCCGAGGATAACGACCGCCTGGTGGCCTCGTTCAGCGGGGGCTGGCAGATGCGCATGTGCCTGGGGAAGCTGCTGCTGCAGGTGAGGGCGAGGGGCTAGGAGAGGGTGGGTGGGGAGATTAGCGTGTGTGTCACACCTCGGTTGCGTTACCCATCGAGCCCATACGAGCCAGCAGAGGCCCAAGAGCCTAGAAGCCACAAGCTAGGATAGGGACATACACTACAACACGAAAGTCCTCATGTGTCGAAGCATTAGATGGTCAGCTGCCCACTTCCGGAGTTGTGGTGCGGCGGCCAGCTGCCGGGGCCGTAGGGCCTGGTTGGTGTGTACGGTGGGGGGTGAAGGGGGGCAGCCCGGCTTCAAGTGTAGGTGTAGTGTAGTGTAGTGTAGTGTAGTGTGGGTAGTTGGTTGCTTTGGCAGATGGCGGCGAGTGGAAGGTATCGGGAGCGGCAGCGGTAGCGGTAGCGGTCGGTTGGAGGTGGCGTCCAGTGCAGCTCGTTGTGCTCGCCGGCCGCTGGTGCGTTCCCCGTGGTGATGATGTTGATTTCTTTCTCTCCCTTTTTTGTGTCCTGTTTAGGAGCCTGACCTGCTGCTTTTGGATGAGCCCACCAACCACCTGGACCTGGACGCCATTCAGTGGCTTGAGGGGTACCTGAAACAACAGGTAAGGGATGAAGGCGGGGTCGGGGGAAAAAGGAAAGGTGTATGCGTGTGTGTGTGTGTGCGCGTATGTGGCGGGGAGTCAGAGAGCTTGCAGAGGGGCACACGCGTAACCGATTTCCTTCTTTGGGCCAGTAGCAGCCGGGGGGGAAGGGAGAAGAGACATCAGGTAAGGTGTTGCAGGGTTTGAGGAGTCTGCCGTGGGGGGCTGGTGGTGCACCTTTCCTCCCAGTGCGATGGCGCGATCCCCTGTGAGTGATTATCCACTCGGGCTGAGTCCATTCTCTGGAACACAGTGCACAGCCACAGCAACGACAGCCGCGGCGGCATGAGATTTGTTTGTTGGTGTGCACGTTACGTCACGTATGAGTAGAGCGTCTTCAGGGCTACAAGGGCAGCGTGCGTGTTTGTATGTCTGTACAGCGTGCGTGTTTGTATGTCTGCGTGTTTGTATGTCTGTATGTTTGTATGTCTGTACATCTCTCGGCGTCCTGGCGGCGTCCGCTCCCTCCAATATGGGGTGCGAGGCCGCTCGTCCCGCCTCCTCGCCCCTTGCCACCCAGGATGTGCCCATGGTGGTGGTCAGTCACGACCGCGAGTTCCTGGACCAGCTGTGTACCAAGATTGTGGAGACGGAGCGGGGCGTGTCCACCATCTACTCGGGGAACTACACACAGTATGTGGCGAGCAAGGTGCGGTGGGAGGGAGGGATGAGGGAGGGAGAGTGCGGGGTAGGCGGGCGAGCGACTGCATGGCACCGTGCGGAGTCGCGGAGATATCGGCATCAGGCCAGGGTAGGGCAGAGGCCGTCGGGCGCCGTGTACAGTAGTGTGCTTTCCTCGCGTCACCGTGCTGTTAAGACCAGCAAAGCGCCAGACCCCCATTGGGTCCTATTATGGTGGTTACCATTCCCTGGTATATGACTGTCGGTCATTTCCAACAGCAGCATCCTGTGAGCGACACTCTCTCGCTCCGGGCCTTCCCGTGCCTCATCCCGGTCTCCCATTCTCTGGGCAACAGCCAGTGGGTATCGATCCGTGCGGGGAGGAAGAAGTGGGGAGACGAATGGGAGGTCTCACTCGCGGCCCCATTGACCCACCGGCGACCCCCGCCTCCCGCATTAGTGCCTTGTCCCTTTGCCTTGAGGGCTCACCTCCGGCGGATCCATTTCCTCTACTCTTTTTCCCTCACTTTCTCTCTCTCTCTCTCCCCGCGTTCCTTCCTGCCGCAGAGCGAGAAGGCCGCACTCCAGTGGGCGGCCTGGGAGAAGCAGCAGAAGGAGATTGCCAAGCAGGAGGAGATCATGCAGCGGCTGGCGGGAGGGGCACAGAGCGGCAGAGCGAGCCAGGTGCGGACATGGGACAGTCTAGGGCGGCGTGAAGGGAGGTAATGTTAGGGCCGCGAGCTGATACCACCGGGGTGTGTGGGGGGAGCGCCACCGCGGGAAAGAATGCCCGCATGGGAAGGTCCACAACCACTGGGGTCTGAAGGCCCAAGAAGCAGTGAGGCAGCGGAAGCAAGGACAGTTCACCAGAGCGGTGCAGGGGTGAGAAAGAGGGCTGTAAGCAAATGAATGCCGTTTACCTCTGCAACCCCCGTCCTGTGCCTGTGCTGTGACGCCACCCTCCCTGCCGGTGCACCGGGTTTGGGTTCCAACCCAGCTGAAGACCGACCGACCTCGGCTTTCCCCACCCCACCCCACCCAGCACAGCCGATGCCGTCAGCTTTTCCCCGGGGACTCCTTTTCATTTACATTTCTCAAAGCGATTGGGGCCCCCGCGGCCCCCCCCCCCCCAACAGCATCCACCACGCACCCCGCCGGACTGCTCCCCATCCCTTCCCCCTCCGCCTCCAGTTTCAGTTTGCTGCTTTGGACTTGGCAGTTGTGCCTATTGACCATGTCACCAACATCATCATCATCATCACGTGATTCCCCTTCCTTCCCGCCCTGTTCCGTCGCACACACCCCGCAGGCTGAGAAGACGTTGGAACGCATTCGTGCCGAGGGCCTGATCGAGAAGCCGTTCGTCCCCAAGAAGAAGTCCTTCACGTTCCCTCCCGTTGAGAAGATGGGTCAGCGCGTGCTCACCATCGAGGGCCTCACCCACGGCTACCCGGGCAGGCCGCTGTTCAAGAACTGCAAGCTGGAGATAGGCAAGGGGGACCGGGTGGCCATCATTGGGCCCAATGGAGCAGGTGAGTCGGGGAAGGGAAGGGGTGAAGGGAGGACAGGATGATGATGATGATGATGATGATGATGATGAGGAGGAGGAGGAGGAGGAGGCGGTGAAGACGGGGTGGGTAGTTGCAGTGGGTTTGGAAACGCCTAAATGGTATGTCTAGGGGGCTCTGGGGGGACTTGAACGGAGAGGGTGTGAGGCGGTTGGCTAGAGAGCTTCCTTGCCCTTGCATGTGTGGCGGCACAGGGATGCACCCCGACTGAACTGAAGCTCTATTCCTTGCCAGGAAGTCTTTAACGGCCTGATGTGGGTCGCCCAGCATGGTCCCTCCACCTGCAAACCTACCCCTCAGGTCGGGTCTTAACCGCTCCGTCCGCACACCCCTGCGCCTTCCGGCCACGTCTGCTGCTGCACCTCAGCTTGTCTTTCAGCCCCCCTCTCCCCCCTGACCCGCTTTCACCTCATTACATGCCCACCCTCCTGTCCTTCTTACCGGCCTCCCGCCTGGCGGCCTCGCCATTCTCCCCTCCTCCCTTTCCCCGCCCCCTAGGCAAGAGCACACTGCTGCGGCTGATCATGGGTCGAGAAGCCCCCCAGTCGGGCTCCGTGCGGCTGGGCGAACACAACATCGTGCCCAACTACTTTGAACAGAACCAGGCGGAGGCTCTGGACCTGGACCTTACTGTCCTGGAGACGCTGGTGCAGGTGGGCGCCGACCTGGCGGGGGGGAGGGCGGGGAGGAGGATGTGATGTGAAGAACTTAGGGTTTGTACGAATGATGGAACATCATTGTTGGTCCAGATCCAGGTCCAGATCCAGGTCCAGGTCCAGGGCGAGGTGGCGTCCCCAACTGCGTGTCTCACTCAAGTCTTGCTCGCGTGTTCAGCATCTGGGATGGCATGGGGTGGAGTGGGGTGGGGTGGGGTGGGTTGTGTGAGCGGACGGGTGGCTGGTTGCAGTCTGTTACTCTTTTTCAGTCTCTCCGGGGTCTTTTTCGCCTTCCCAGCTACATGTGGCCATGATGGATGCAACATTCTGCCGTCACGCGTCACCATTTACCTCGTTACTGCTGCTGCTGCTGCTGTTATTGTCACGCACCTCAGGCTTCTCCCGACGCCAAGCTTAACGACCTGAAGGCTCTGCTGGGCCGCATGCTGTTCAGCGGGTCAGCCATGGATAAGAAGGTCCGGAGGGCTCTTAAGGGCTCATTCGACAGATGGGAACGAGTGCATGGTTGGCTGGTAGACGTAGTGGGAAGGAGGGAACGAGGGGCAGGTGGGGCACCTAGGCGCCGGACGTTCCATATCGCGCTAGCTAGGCCGTATCGCCGACTATCGCAAGAGAAAGTTGCAGAGTTCACTCATCCTTTGCATCTCGAGGATTTGCGTGGCGGGTCTGTCCCGTCCGTACACTTAACGTACTTTTTCTGCCCCATTTCGCCTCCTCCTCCTCCTCCTCCGGCTCCTCCTGCTCCGTCCCCCGTAACCATGTAACATTAGAGGGGTTAAGAAAGAATCCCGCCCCCACCCCACCCG